GCCACCAGAAAAGGAGTTCTTCCAGTTCTTATCCTGCAAGACAATGATCCACAGACATGATCCACAGTCAGGCCAATACTTCCAGTCATGCTCTAGAAAACAATAACCTACATTCTTAGTTGGGGCTCCCATTTATCAGTTTTCAGAAAGAGCCAGGTAGTAGAAATCAAATTATTTGTTTCCTCTTATCCCAGTGAGTGCCACCAAAGTGCAGGGGGTGTGCAGGGAACCTGTCTCTCAGGAAACCATTGCTGTGTATCATAAAAATAATCAGTGATTGAAATTAGCTGGTGTCTCTGCCTAAGCACAACACTTAGAAACTGCTGGAATCAATCTCACTCTTGTACCAGTTTTTCCTGTGCCACCCAAAGAGCAGACAAGTTTCTCAGAGCAAAGTTCAAATACAGCATTTTTCCAGTAGAAAATCTGAGTTCAATGTAGAAAATCTGAGTTTCCTGCCTTCCCCTATGTTCATTTTCACTCTGAGCCTTGTGGAGCAGCTCCTGTCCCTGAGGCAGCCCTGCCACCCTCTCGCACACTGAGGGGGCACTACAGGGAAAAGCCTCAGTGCCCAGGAGCAGCTTTGATGCTGAACTGCACTGGGGATTACCCAGTAGTACTTTGGGGTTTCCTAAATTAGTGCCATGAGTAATTCAATCAGGCTCAGGCAACAAAATGGATCCAATCCAAAATTCAATCCAACTCACTTCAGTAGCAAATTACATCTAAATTTTAGATGCTTTTTGAGCCAGTCCTTCTAAAATAAATCCCATATATAGCAGGGGGAAAGCTAGGTGCCTTTGAGAGCCTCCTTAGGGACAGCCTAAATTGGGCAGGCACAATCTCCCTCTGGAGTAGCTTTTCTAGGCATTTATCTCTCCCTTTTGAACATGGAGGGAATTTAGGCACTTAATTTAAGAGAACTAGTTCACTCTGTGCTCAAAACATAGGTGCTAATTAGCTGCCCATGCCTGACTGGAAACCCTCCCAGTTTAGAGTCTAAATAATTTATCTTAAAGACTAGCATTGTGTTATGGCCTAGTAAAATTTTAAAAAAGAAACAAACCAGCATGCTTTGTGCACTGCAAACAGATCAAGATCAGGAATGGTGTAGGAGAGAATACAAAATGGGATGGAAGGTCCATACCTTAGTTACTGCTAAAGGCTCCTTGCTTTGCATATTTGGAAGCAGTGGGGCTGATATCAGACACTTTTGACTCTTCCACTATCTCTCCCAAAGCACCCAAAAGCCCCACTTAATTTCATTCCAAAAAGAACTTTCATGCTTTTTGGAAAGAAAGATTACAGTGGCAGCACTGGGGTAGGAAAACCACCTTTTTCTGCTGTGCTGTTCCGAGAAGACTCATTTGAATTTAGGAGTATCTTGTACTATGGATGACTGTCTTCAGATGTGTTGGTAGTAGGAAATATCAGCCTCCACAGATTTCACAAATTCCTCAATTAAAGGAGTGTGTGGGCTTCTTCTTTAATTAAAGTGAATCTTACAGAGAGAATTTAAGTTCCTAGAGACATTATGAGAATTTATGGCACCCACTGGCTAAATTACTACTGAGATACTTCCATTTTCCCAGGCTAAGTCTGCACCACTTGGTGTGTGTGCAGATTTTGGGCACATAAATCCAGTGTGGGATCAGCTCCTGCCCCCAACACCCAGGAGTGCTGGGTCACTTCCCTAATTTCACTTTGCTCCCCTCATCTGCAACACAGAGATAATATTCCTCAGCTCTGCAGTGGTGCCAGCCTTGATTCATGAATGTTTTAAGGCATTCTGTGATTTTTCAGCCTGAAAGGTGCTTAAGAACCATAAATTATTGGTTTAATATGGATCATAGTTTTCATCTCATAAATCTTTTATGTACTACTCCAAATTCATGCCTGATATAACTCTAATAACTTGTGCAATATTAAGCAAGGGATAAATTTGGTTCAGTATATGAGGCAGCAAAATGAAATTCCAAGTGTGAGACCAAGGGCTTAACAGGTGGCATTTCTTACAGAGTAATGTCAGAAACCTACCCCCCTGCCCACTTCTCTGCAGAAAAAATATCATCTCATGGCACTCTAACTTGTTAAGCCTTAATTCATCATTAAATGTCTGCTTCTTGTCAAAATAGTTTTTCTAATATTTTCTATTGCTATACGTAGGTAGTTTGTGTTTATTGAGAATTAGTGGCCGTGGTCATGTTTTTGCAATCTATTTTGACAAAAATGTTTGAGTAGAAAGCAGATTATTTTTCACAGGAACAAGCCTTTCAATAAGACATTCCTACAGCTTCAGGTCCTTGGCCGTGGGAGCAAAGGACCCAGGACTAGGAGGGATCCACTGGGTCACACTCACATCACAAACAGCAATGTAGAAGGCTTGGCAAAAGCCATTTTAAATAGGTGGGCATTTTGTCCCCCCACAATAAGAAAATAATCCTGTTCATGCAGTTCACTGCTGTGATAGTTGAGCTCTGTTAATTCCCAGACCAGACGTTCTCATGCCCAGTTTAGAACTCTGTTATTGGGCCAGAATCTCTCCATAGCTGAAATAACTTTGCTCCTCCGGTGTCATCTGACCACTCCCCCTTTATGTGCGCATGAAGAATAACTGCATTCCTACTCAATCTTCATTTTGTTAGCCTAAGTTGAACTCTTATAGTGTTCCTTTAAAATGTAATAAATCTAATGAACACAAGAAAGAAAAGTCTAAGGACATGATAACCATCTTTGAAAAGGAAAAAAATTGTCAGACCTCATATTTCAGTTAGACCTTGGTAAAATTCAGCTCTTTATTAAGTCTTATCTCCTTCCCCTCCATGACTCTGATTCTTAACATTATTTCTGGTCTTCCCAGAGTTTATCCTCTGACCTCTGCAGCAGGTTTGGGCAATAAATTGCCTTTCTATTCTTCACTGTCTGCAATGAGTGAGCTTGGGTACTTTGGTTCTCATAATTCTTTCTTCATTTCATCCTTCCCCCGTTCTTTCCTATTGAAGAAAATTTCCATGGAATGTAATGGAAAACCTGATAAGCATCTGAATCTTATGTGATAATGTACCTTATTGATAGTATTAAAGACACAGAAACAGAGTACTTCCCATGGAATTTTTATATTTGCACTGATTCTTACAGAACCTCTTCTTTCTTCCCTCCTGTCCCTCTCCAAATGGTCTAGGACTTTTCTTTATGCTGTGTGAATGCAAAAAGAAAAATATATACAAGCATCTTTTGCTGATATTGGGATAAAATTTTAAAATACTAAAAGTAGTTTGGAAAAGACTCAACTCTTAAGGCATCCACATGTTTTTCAAAGTAGTCATGAGTAAGGATTGTCACCAAATCATAGAAAGAAAATATAGGTCTGCTTAATTCCTAAACATAATCATTAGGTAAATTTGTAGACCAGGGCATAATGGAAATCAAAGGTGTTCAGTTGATATAAATGCAGTTTCCAATGAAATTAAGCAGGAATTCTGTGCATTGAATGAGGCAGGAACCTGGACAGGCAACCCAGAGTTAACCCCCCCATGATGAATTCCCTGGCTCAGGGAATTCATCAGTCTGGGGGTTAGCAGTCTGGGTTTAGCACATCTGGAGCTGGGACAGCATCACTGCCACATTTCTAAACTCAGATGCCGCATCTGCACTCAGCTGGGCAGGCAATCCCTCCTCTGTGTTCCATGGAAACTTCCATGGTGTTTCAGGGCACAGCTCTGAGGTCCTGGGCAGATGCATTTGGGCAAGGCTTGCAGCACAGCAAGTCAGTGCTGGATATCAGATTAAAGGTTTGATCCAAAATAGTGGGTCTCTTATTGCAATAGCTCCAGTATTTCGCTGCAGCTTTGCACTACAGAAATCAAGTACTGAACAGCAGTGAATCTAATCTGGTTTGCTGTAATAACTTTAGAGATGGTCCTGCTGCTGGAGTAGCTCAGAGCCAGTATTTAACAAACATGAGGGTGAGTAAATACCCTTTTTGGCCAGTTTTAGTCCATGTTCGCATCCTAAATTTAAAAATTCTAACATATCTGAGAGAAAACTTTAAAAATTCAACAATGGAAGAAGAGTTAGAACAGAAGGTTGAGAAGAAGATGGAGATAATAAAATGAAGCTGAAACACCTCCAGACAAAAGCAACAGTGGGAAAGCATTTTTTCAGATAAAGAAATTAAGATATTAAGATAATGTAAGTGCAGGGCACACCACCAGACATCCCTCCAGCTCAGCTGAGATCTTAATCCTCTAATCAGAGATAGATGGCAAAGAGGAGACATTTATTTCTGAGATTTGTACAGATTTATCTTTTTAATTCTGATACATTAAATAGCCTGTAACACAGAGATTTCTCTCAGGTAGCAGAGCACCAATGCATTCATCCAATTAAAAATGGAAAACTGCTCATAAATAAAAAGCATTTTATGAGTCCTCCCACAGTCAGAGCTCATGCAGGAAGTTCATACACTCACCAGGCTCCATCCACTGCCATTCACATATCATTTATGATAGAGAATTCCTGTCTCAGCAGGTTATTGTTTAGTGGGCTAATGCTTATTTGCTAGATGAAATGCTATTGTGGAAGTTCTGTGGGGAAGCATGTTACTTGTGGGGGGGGAAAAGACCACCTCAAAAAAGAGAAAACAAGCCCTGTTTATCATCCTGGTGACAGAGAAGGGCAACTTCACCATGGATTTGAAGGGAGCTGCATCAGGCCCTGTAACTTTAGCCCTATAAGCAATAGTATGCAATAACTGCTAAGGAAAAATCATCTTGCTGCTTTATTTTTTGTGTGACTTGTTAAACTGCAATATAATTCTGCCCCAAAACAGTAACTAAAGCTTATTTTATTTTAATCCCAGTGCTATTTGTGCATCGTCTAATTGCAATATCTTACTCTCACAATTAAAAATAAAGCACATGATATTGTGAGAATATGTTTTATTTCTGTAAATTCTGCATCCCAAGAACACTCTGTGACCTGGGGTTCTTTGTTGCTAGCTGGTGAATGAGCAACAGGAGAGCAGACCCCTCCTGAGTCCCTCCATTGATGACTTTCTCTGTGAAACTAAGCCAGAAGCTGTTGCCAGGCCTGTAACATCAAATACTGCAGGTAAACAACATTTTTTACTATCCCTCACTAGAGAAAAATAGTTTTAGTTTTAGCTTAATTATGGCACATTTTTATCAAGTGACTTCTCAGTTTGTTACTGTGTGCACAAAATCAAAAGCTGGCATTAAATTGTGATTGCTTGACCTGTTATAAGAAAAACTTTTGGTCATTACATTTTAGGGGAAATCTGGTGTGATTCAAATCACATCAATTCTAGCAGATAGATGTGAAATTAATGACATCTTTGGGATTGAAATTAATGCAATTTGTTTAAGTCTCACAGGATGTACATATGAGTCTGAATCAATTCTCTGTATTTGGTTTTGCAAAATTTTAACCTATGGGAAAACTCATGTTTAGTCTGGTTTTAATCAAACTCATTCCTTACTCTAGAAAGATTTTTTTTTTAATAAAATCTTGGATGAGTTTTTAGAGAGAAAAAGGGGGTAAGTATCAGAACACTTAAACCAGGCTGAGTTCAGACACTTTGTTAGTGAAAGGATTTAATATATTTCTTACCTTCTTTGTGTTGTAATGAGGCAGTAGAGAAGGTAATGACATCTATGAATGAATCCTGAAAACTTTTGAATTACACTGAATTCTATTTGAAGTATATTGTCATTTGAAAGTATTTTTAGAAATCATCCCACTCCTCCTTGGTGTCTGTGCAGAGGTAATCAATGCTGTTGAGAGATCAGCTGAGACAATAATATCAGCACTGCCCTACTGGGCTCTCTTCCTGCCTCAGAAAAGGACTTGGCTTGTTAGAAGCCATTTAATTAAAATTTACACCCATGCAAATTATTAAATGAATAATTGACAGCTGAGTGATTATCTGCACATGTAATTAATGTGTCTGTAGTAACAAAAGCTGAAATACTGAATTAGATAACAATTGTAAGTAATAATTTTTCCCTTTAAAAAATATAGCTGAAGATATTGCAGGGATGAATAGAACTCTTTCAGATTGTTTAAGAATGGTTTGTTTTAAAATTTACCTGTAAATTTTACACTTGCCTTGAATATCTATCAGATTGGGGTGAGGGTGTCAATTAGATTTATTTAATAATAAAATAAAAATATTCTATGAAGATTGATGAAATTCAGTGATTTCCAAGAAAACAGATAAAGCACTGCAAGAGGTAATGCAAAGAGATTTGTGAAAAACACCTGCCCTGTAACATGATGATAAAAAATGAGTTTTTCTACCTTTTACATGCTAAAGAATTGTGAATGTTACACTTTAGGCAAATTTTAAAAGAAGAGCTGAAATTGAACATTTCTTTCATACTGATACAGTCCTTAATAGAAATGGCATTAGACTTTATGCTCAGTGTTTATGACCCAAAGGACAAACACCAACAACAGCAGAAAACATTAATAAACATCCACATTCCTCTTTGACCCAGGTCCACCCCGAGAGCTATTCCTAAATGGATTGTGGCACAACAGCACTGCCCCAGGACTTAAAAAAATCTGATATTAAACCAAATCTTATCCAAAAGCTGAATTGAACAGGGAACCCTCACAAAAGAGGGAACCCTGTGAAGGCCCCAGCCATAAGACCTCAGATGTCTTTAAGATTTTCAGAGGAAAAGCCTTTTTTGCAAATCCACTAAACAGCATTCAGTTAAGCACTTGAAATCCCCAGGTAGATTTTAACATACTGGTCATCATCTTTAGCCAGGAAATACACACTTACTCTGGCTAAATACAAACACATCAGTATTTTTTTTCCCCAACTAAAACAAATCTTAAAAAGTGAGCTATTTGAATTCAAACAACACTGAATTTTAACATTTTGTCTCTAAGTATTATCAACAGGTCTGGATCTCTTGGATCTTAGTGAACCTGTCTCACAAACCCAAAACAAAGCAAAGAAATCAGAGAATCCTTCAAGAACTGAAGGCGTAAAAGCTTCAACCCTCAGAAAGAAGACAGAGAATCCTGACCTGATCAGTGTGGATTCTGAGCAGAAAGTCCAGGCTGCCAGAGTTGCAGACAAGTCTTCTCTAGATTTAGGTAAGAGTGCAGCTGTTTCATCAGTGCTCCCTTGCCCTGCTTAGCACAAGTTTCTCCTGGCTACTTTCACAAAACAATGAGCAACACCAGAATTTTTGCTGCACCCCATTTCAGCAGTGTAGCCTTTGCTTCCCATTATAAACTACCTGAAGCACTTCAAACCTTAAACACATTTTTCATTTTGCCTCTGCCATTGTACCTATTAAGTTGACCCTAAGTGTGCTAATAAAGTTTTGAAATTTCTTTGGAAAAAGGAATTTAGTCAGGGTGTGTAAAATGGTAGAAAAATCTGTAGGGGTGTGATGAGAAATTGGTAAAGGACACAAATGAGAGGCACCCATGCTGATGTCCTTTTCAGACCTGCAGGTGTCAGAAATGCACATTTATATTTGTAAATACTGCTTTATCTCTGCACAGGAGAGAAAAAAATCATCCATTCTTGACAAGAGAGATATATTTATACAGACTGAAAAAAAAATCCCCAAAACAACTCAATTTCCTGCCAAGCCTGATCTATCGACAAGCTTTGGAAAAGGTGAATTTGATTTAGTTCCATCCAAACTAAATTACTTGCAGTGCAACTGAGAAATTTGCAAGGTAAATGTAATTTATACCAAGGCAGCAAATTTTCCATTCATCATCACAGAAATTCTTTTAGAGACCTTTATCTTCAAACAGGAGCTGAACATCTGATCTTTGCAAAGTGAATCTGACATGACTGAATAATATCAGTTGCCTACATAGTCATTTTCACATGTTAGTCTCTAAAAGAAGCTTCATTTTTACAATTTGTTTAAATTACATAGAAATTACTGATTTGAAGTCAAGAATTACACTGACATTTTGACCATGAATGCTAACAGATTTAGAAAAGTGTTCTGAATTTCCAAATATTTTCACACTGTATCAACTAGAAAGGTGCACAATGTTTCTTTATGGTGGACCTTTATAAAAATATAGGCTTTGGTGGCATTATTTTCTCTATAACATACATTTTACTGAGGAGATAAAATTCTCAGCAGGGGTTTCTTTAAAAGATTCATATTTATTCTTGTTTTTCAGTTGACATTCAGACACAGATAGAGAAATGGGATGATGTCAGTTTTCATGGAGACAGGAGTAGCAAGGCCCACCCTTCTGCAGAGAGAACGTCATCGTCATCCAGAGCTCCATCAAAGGAGATTTTATGGTACAACTTTTTGCTTTCCTTAAAAAAAATATTTCCAGCCCAGCTTTCTTAATTCACAGAGATGCTTGCTTGATAAAAAAAATCATAATTTAAACTTGTTATGGTGACATTAAATGTGTCCAAGCATATATTTTGGGCAATGTATCACAAAGAAGTGCACGATAAATGCCATTTTGCCCGCAATTTTTAATGGTGTGGAAAGTAGCAGGTGCAGTTACTTAATAAATGGTGGTGAGAATTCTACAGAGACATGCAGGGAAATCCTTTATTGTGCTGGTTGGTATTTAGACACTGACTGAGGCACAGACTTGTGTCTTTGTCCAGCCTCAGTTGAAATGGAAGAGTATGAGAGCACAAAGAAGGGTCCAGGCACTTTTGATTAAGTGTTAGTGCAAGTTAAACAATTCAGTTGAAGGAAATAACCTGACTAATCATTGTGTGCTTGTGAACCTGAAGACACAGGACACTGTGTCCTGGTGCTGAGTGTGTAAATGCATTATTTCTAGGTCCACAGAAAACAGATCACAGTCTGAGCTGGCTAATGTCAAGAGTGCCTTGGACTCTGATTCAGCATCAGAATTAGAACTTGCACCTGCAATACAGGTAAGAGGGTTTGGTAGGTTTATTAACCATGAAAAGGCAAGGAGGAACTTCCCACTGGCTAATCACTGACACTCTGGGAGAATTGCTCATGGGATATTTTCAGGATCATCAGGGAAAATATCTTCACACACCTCTGAAATGAATAGGTTATGAAATTGAGTGTGTCAGCACCTGAAACATTCAGAGTTTAATACTGCAGTGAATTGACACTTTCCTGTACAGAGGGAAAAACTTCAAACTACAATTTACAGCATCATCTTTTTCCCCTCGCTCCAGCTCTGAAATTCAGACTTGTAGTGGTTCCCTACCCATATTGAATTCTATCCTTCAGGTCTCTTGGTCAGGCAGGAACCCCCAGAAGTGGGAAATTGCTGAGGAAAACAGGAAGCAATCATTGCAGCAATGTTCATTAGCAGTTTATCTCCACAGGTGGGGGAGCAGTGTGGTCACAGGACTTTTTCCTGCTGGAAAAGGAACTCTAATACCGAGGGCTCTGGCCTGAAGGTTTGTAGATTTGCCCAATTCCACTGTTGTATTGTGTCTTGGACAGGTCTTGTTGGAAATGATTGCTGAGGGTTGCATGCATGTATGCACACACAGGTACAAATATATACAAATACATTTATATGTACATTCTGATAGATCAGGCTGTTCACACACCTTCTTTGCTGCTTCTTACTTTTTAACTGAAAGACTTCAGCCACTGCCACTGGAAGGGGGAAGAGAGAGTTTTCTGGTGGATTGGCTTTTAGTTGAAAATCATTTTCTCACCTCCCACAGCTATTTTTAGGCATGAGCTTGAAAAACCTTCTGTCAGATAGAAAATCTGGAAATTAATGAAAAATAATTGCCTCATTTAAAAATGGAAAAATGAAAAAAATGAGACACTACGTGCCAAATGTGTATGCTAAGATTATACTTTTTTTCCCCAGAAATTAGAAACAGAACCCAGTTATCAGATCCATTTTGGGTTTCTCTTAGGCAAAAACATGTTCTTTACTTCCCTGCTGTCTCTACAGCACAAACAGGGATTTTTTTTCTTCCCCTCTGGAAAGCCTCACACAAGTTGTAATGCATGATACCTTTCCTTTCTCTACAATAGATTTGTACATCTCAGTAATGGAAAACACCTATTACACAGTGCCATCCACTTGAAATGGATGCTGTGTTCTCACTTGCTTTGAGCTGATATTGAAGCACCTCTGACCCTCTTTTAGGAAGCTGTTCCTCAGCCCAGCAGATCCAAATTCCAGCACATTTGTGCTCAACCAAGAATGTGTGTAAGCCAGGTAGACAGTCACAGGATTTAAATGCTGTGGCTTTTGTAAAAGCAATTACAAATTCAGTGTATCTCTACTTTATAAGGTCTATTTCCTTTTTATCTTCCACTAGAATAACTGCAGAAGCAAAAATCCACACTTTTTACACAGTTTAAGTTCAGTTAGTTAAGGCTCCATAATATTTTGTAAAATGACTTCAAAATAAAAAAACCCATGAAGTTGAATAAGTCAACTTGAAAAAAAAGCAGAGACTAAACTTCTTATCTGTTGTCTTGGTACATTTCATGTTTTGTTCTGGTTTGTCGTAACCTGCTTGTTTCAAACCTGTCATCCATTCGAGAAAAAAAATGTGAAATTAATAATGCAGAGAAATGAAGGGAGAATTTGCTCTTATTCTAGGTAGGTTACAGGGAAGTGTGGTTTTGTTCACTGCCTGTTTCATCCTCCTCACACTTGGACTCTCAGAGTTGTCAGCTCCCAGCACTCAGACTCATCTGTCTTGACTGAATTCTTAATCTGCTCGCAGGAGAAATCACATTAGGGCTTTTATCAAAGCATATGTTTTCCATATTTTGTCCTCTATAGGTCTTGTCTATCTCATTTAAGGGTAACCTTTGCAAATGCAACAACACATTCTGCCATACCCTAAATATTTCATCTTGTCAAACTTGCTGCAGTTTTCCATCAGCAGTTTCCCAATCACCTCATCACTCATCTTTGACATGTTAGATTTAGCTCCTCAAAGTGAAATGCTAAGTAACTAGGTCATATTTTCATTAAAATTATTCAATCTTCTTAAGAAAATCCTTTATTTACCAGCACTTGTGCCAATACAAAATCCAAAAGACAAGCTTTGAACTACAAGGGAGAAATGTGTTTGAAGGCTATAATGGGCAGTGGTCACTGGTGGCTGTCACTGGATGTGGCTTCTCAGCATTTACTCAGATCATATTTTATATATTATTAACTTTTAAACTGTATTGGCTCAGAGTATCCTTGTTCTTTCTTTTATCTGCCATTCTGAAAATTTCCTTGTTATGCTTTTATTGGTACTGAGATAACCTACAGTGTTTGGGGGGAAGGGGGATTTTGAAGGGTTATAAACTGCAGAGGAAGATAATATGTTCCATTTTCTATGCATAAAGTCTGCTCATATTTTAACTCTTTAAGTATTTTCTGGGGCATTTAAAATATTTCAGCTCTCCAGGGCTGCCCCATCCCATCCCCTGCTGGGGCTGTGCAGCTCTCCAGGGCTGCTCCTCCACTCCCATCCCCTCTCCCTGGACCAGCAAAAAGCAGCAAATTTGGGGCTTTTTAAGGGGCTCTTCATTTCAGGGTGTCACAGCCCACAGTACAGCTCTGCATTGTCTATGTGCAAATGCAGCTTATGTGGGTTTTTTAACGTACATTTAATGGAGGAGAAAGTCTGTTTCTGTGGGGATGATGTGGGGACAAAGTGCCATGTGGCAGAGGAGGGGAACTCTCTGCTTCTTGTCCTCTTTCCCCTCTGTGCTGCCCCTCTGCTGCTCTCTCTGCCCTTCTGCAGTACAGCTCAATCTGAACATCCTCATTTACAGCATTGTCCTTGACCCAAGGAATGGCAGTCACTGGAAACAAATGGGTAAAAAGCAGAAGTAATCAAACTGTTTGCAGGAGCCAAGTCATAAATAATGAAAAGGCCAGGACCATAATTAGAGCCTATCAATAGAGTCCTGTGTCAAGGAAAACAAATTTAATTCCTTGATCGGATTACAGGTCGAGTTGATAAATCTTGATGCGTGATACTCTACAAGAGTTTTGAATTAATATGTCATATTCTGCTTGTAAAATTGGCACGACACAATGTGAAATAAAGCAGTTGTTAAACAGATTAAAACTGGCCAACCTGAGGGCTCAGGAGCAGGAGTTATTTACTAGGAATTGTAATCACACAGGGATTGTTCTGGGATTCCAAAGACAAACAATGTTCTTCAGTTGTATTGATCTGAAAATAAACATGCAAGCAAATTCCTCAGAGAATTTCCATATGATGCAACAGTGGAATAAAAAAAAAATAAGGGATATGTAAAAAGGAGCTGGTGATCAAGGCAACTGTATAAATACATATTGCAATACAGTCCCTGGGAAAATCACACATTTCAGAGCAAAAATGCAGGCTCTGCTTACAAGACTGTGCTGGAAAGCTGTTTGAAACAACAGGAGTGTTACCTGTGCAGTACTGGGGGAAGAGGAATCTGTAGAAGCAAACATAATTAGTGGGAGAGAGGAGATCACCTGATTTCTGCATAGAGAAGCAGCGAGACAGGTGCTGGAATAAAGGGTTAATTTTGGTTGTCTGTATGCCTATAGAAAATTAAGAGGGAGAGTAAAAGTGACACAAAATGGTTAAAATCTGAATGTTTCATATTGAGAATTTTTAATGTTTTTATGCTTTTATATTATTAAATGTCCTTATATCACTAAAACCTGATTAAAATCATCAGTATCTTACTTCAGAGAAAATAAGGAGTATTAAAAAAGTATGTGAAAAAAAAGTAATAGAGAAAGTGAAATTAAAATTAATAAGAGAAACAAGGAGGGCAGTTAAACAAATTGCAAATAAAGTGATGACATTAAGGTCTCTCGATAACTTTAAATTAAACCCAAGCAACTTTCTCAAAGAAATTTATTCCAGACATCATTTTGGTTCCATGGGTGTTGACAGACAAATGCCATCATGTGATACACTGACAAATGACTTATCTGAACCAGTTATCTCTTCTGCTCTATTAATCAGTAAAGGAACTGTTTTATGTATAGGACTGCGTTTTGATTTGTTTTCAATGACAACCTGAAATCTCTTCCTGCCCTCACCAAAGGAAAATAGTTTTTTATAAACATGGACTAGAGGAAGAAGATGTGAAAGCAGAAGCAATAGATCCTCAGTGTGGACATTCCCTCACTCTGAGTTTCCTGTCAGGGCAGAGTCCAGAGGCCAGCACAGGAGAACACTCACAGTTCCCACCACCACCACCAGCTTCTCACAGAAATTGTGTTGTACTCTTGTTTGCTTACCTTATGTGTTTCATCCACTCAATGTGCATTTCACTCATTGCTCTCTAACTGAGAGACCAAAGCCTCAGGAACAAAATAGAGAACCTAGGGCTCATTTGACAAATGAATGTCATCTTTCTAGGAAAAAACCCATGTGTGTACAACCACGGAGAAATGTGTTTGACCATACATCACATGTGACAAATGAGTGTCAGATGTTCCATCCCAGCAGAGCCCATTCCAACTTTTGCAGAGACAGCTCAATGAGTCTGATGTGATCAAAATTAGTCATATAGCAGTGTGGTTCACAGAAATTTAATATTACAAGTACAGTCATCAGAAATATAATCAGGGAAATTAATGCAATTGAAGCATGGGCACACAAGTGGCTAATGAGTTTAACCTCTTGACAAACACTGGGGAAGGGATTAGCAGTCAGAGCCTTGTTTAGCAAGATTAGGCCACTTTGTGCTTTTCCTGCCATCCTTAGATATTGTTTGGTTTTGTACAGTGCTTTTTGTAAAACAAACAAACAAACAAAACATTGCTTTTAGAAAAATAACAGGAGAAAAGTTACTATGTGCTTCCAGTGGGATTGAACAATAGTATGGTACATAAGAGAGATGCTGATTGTGAAAAAGATTTGCCCTTCCAGTGGTATCCAGGGCAAACCCAGCTCTCCAATGTGATCCCAAAAGAAAACCTGAAAGAAAACCACAAAATGTGCAGGGAAAATAAAATGTTTTCTTCCTGGCTCATAGTCAGTGGAGAGCATCACCACAGTCATAGTGCAGAAGGAACAAGGAAGGTAAAAGTCTTATACAAAATATTCAGCTCTCTCCTTTTGTAGTCCAAGCCTTGCATTGCCTTTTCTTGTATGCCTCTTTATCTTTCACACATCTTGAGTGAAATGAAAAATCTACAAAAGATAAATTACTCTGCTTCCCATGAGAAGTGGGAACTCTGCTACAGTGTAAGAGAATTCAGAGGAATTCATGCAGGGAAAGAAGTAGTTTTCCCCAAGAAAAAGGTCATTTGGGGCTCTAGACAATTAAGGAAATAACTCAGAAGTGTGACAGAGGGTCTATCATCCCTTTCTGATTTATTCTTCTATTTTTTAGGCACGGTCAAGTAAGGAGCAGCGTTGGGGAACACCTCTTCTCTCCAGAAATCACTCCTTGGAGGAGGAATTTGAAAGAGCAAAGGCAGCTGTTGAGGTATTGTTTCATTTACAGTTTTCATTTTCAGCTGAAGTTCTACAGATTTCTTTTTTATCTTGCAGCACAAGCAGAGGAGAGAGTTGGAATTGGATTATTTAAAACAGAGAAAAGATGCAATTCCTGGAGCTATTAATTTAAAGTAGCAACTTGTCTCTTTTAAAAAAGGAAATCCAAAACACAGAGCTATAAAAAAACATTAGAGATAATCAAGTTTTTAAGCTGGATTTTTATTGGTAGAGCAAATGGCTGAATGCCCCATAGATGTAGCTAATTCCAAACCACAAGTAAAAGAGGGAATTGTGTGCCATCAGTTCTTTACACCCAGACACAAACCAAATCCTCCTGTGCAACCAGAGCTCAGAATCACTGATGAACAGCACAATTACCTGCTGTAAAGCAGAGCTGTGCAGAAGCACCAACCCTGCACCATTTTCACATTTTTACAACCAGTGGCAGAATGCTAAGCACAGGAGTATTCTTGTTTCCTGGTAAATCTATTTGGTTTGAGAAGATAGAGGTATTTGGATAGTTCTCCTATTGTACTTCTGGGGTTTTTTCATTGACTTCTACAATTCCAACATCTAAAACATCTCTTGTGTGTTGTCCTATACCACTAGTCCAAATTGATCCTGTCTGAACACAAAGTAGAACACGGGTTTTTAGCAGAACTCCACAAAAAATTTGATATAAGCATTGATCTGAAGCATCATTATCTTCATTATCTTCTTAGGGGTTCCTATCACCACAAAGAGCCAAGACTCCATTCCAGCAAGGACAGAATTTCAGGCTAAATTATGTAACAGCCACTGAAATTAGTTCTTAGGGTGCAGAGAATGAAGCTGTGAAACTAGTTCCTCAAAACTGGTTATTTTTAGCATTTTTAGCACTGCAGGCTCATTAGTCTCCAAACCATCTAGAACACTGTAGGGATGTTTGAGTTTAGATTTAAATTTTAGTCATGTAGTTTAATACTCTTCTAACTCAAGTTATAGACCATTCTAATTCCAGTGTTGAAAGCAGAACTATTCTAGACTAATATTGGCTGATGAGAAAGAAAACTATGCCTAAGTCTGATACTGCCTTCTAAATAGAAAGAGGATTTCTTGTTGAAGTAATTAATCTGATTTGTAGGGGTTTTTTTCATTGTATGCTATGGTAAGATGGAGGTACCATGGATTTCTTGTGTTTCTGCCATGGTTTCTTGGGATTTATTGCACACACAAAAAAATCTGGTCTCAGCATACAAAGCTAAAATGCACAAAATCAGTAAATTAACTCTTTCATAAACCAAGCACAGAAGGTATTTTTTCTTTCCAGATCAAATAAATTCTTCATCAGCAACTTCTGGTGAGGCACAGGAGATGTTTCTGGTGTCACACATCCCACACATATTTGCTCCTGGCAGGAAAGGAGGGAACTGCTTTCAAATTTCTACTGCTGGAGATGCTTTAGATGTTCCTTCTTGCTGATCCTCAGGGTGGGATGTGCTGGGCTGAGAGCTGGGAAGGCAGCACAGGGAATCTCATGCTGAACATCTCAGTGCTGGTGGTTAAGCAAATGATGACAGAACTCCTGCAATTGCCAGAAACTTGTGTGATGGGGAGTTTCCAGACACTCACAGTAAGAAAAATTAGTTGAGTCCAACAACAGATTACAAGACATTATTGAATTACTGTGCAGAGTAAAGTGAGGAGGAGAATATATTGTAAAAAAACCCAAAACCCTACAGACGAAGAGGTCATTCTGAGGCAACAGAGACAGGTTGTTAAAATACTTTAAAATGCTCTCAAAAATAGCTATTAAAAAGAATCAAATTAAATGTTTCCCCAGCTGTAGCTGGCAGCCTTAACTTATTCTTTCTGCTTAAAATAGAACCTTGGGCCAGGTAGTTAAAATGTAAAGGAAAGGATTCTTCAAGAACTCACAGAACAGTTATTTCCATTTGCATCTGAAAAGAGCTGAATTTTCATCCTAGCTAAAATGAAGTAGTAAGAAAGCTGGAGTGATTGAAATAAATTGGAGCCCATCTCAGAAAGATTAGTTCTTTCTTAAGCAGAGAATAGATACGGGTCAAAAATTCATTTTTTAGGCTTTGGATGTTTCTGTGTAATATTCTTCAGTTGGGAAAGCTCCAAGTGGGAAGATTAGCCAGAGAACTGATCAAGAAAAGGAAGTAAATCTGAGGTTCTTGGTGGCCTAGTTCGAAAGGAATTAATTAACAATTCAGTAAATGAAGACACCAAACTTTATCCTCCACCCAGTATTCACCTCAGCGCTTGGGGAATGGTTTTAAGATGTCAAACTTTGAGATTAATGAAGATTTGTGAGGTAATTCTTTCTTAAGAAGGTTTAAAGATGTCTATGCCATTGGGAAATCTTTTAAGAATAAAGTGGTGAGTAAAATACCTTTTTTACTAGAGAGGGGGCAGATTCCCTTGCAGTGTTTGGGTGCTTGCAGACCTTGCTACCTTTTCTGTTATTCTGGAAATTGGATTTGATTTTTGCCTCATGATTTTTTTGTCTCAATATTTTCCAAGTTCCATAAGAACACAATCCTTCTGATAATTAGCTCTGTTTCACCAAAAATATGTACTTTTGAATTTTTAAAAAATGCCAGGATGGGGATTCAGATCCATCCTGTACTTCTATTCCATTAAAACAATTGTTTATTGTACCACCATCCTACCGGTGATGAGTTAGAATAAATAAAAATAAAAGCAAGAAGGTACAAAAACTTCCAACTGAGAATTCTCAGAGATGGAAAAAAAAGCTGCTTTGCTATTTTCTTCTTCCACATTTCTCTGATTAAACTGCAGATGCCACACTGTTTTGTGAGCTTATGCATAAGAAATTTTGAGCTGTCCTTCCCAGCATAATTTTATTTACAACACAATGTCACATGAACCATCTGCTGTATAATGTACTGCTCTGAAGCATCAGAGCACATTACAGCTAAATTATGTGACAATAGGAGGAAAAAGATGGGATTAATTTGTTCTAGCCTAGGAAAACACATTCCAGGACCATCAGCTTTGTGGTTCCCATGAGTGCTGGTTGGATCCTTTCTGTACCTGCAATATTCCTGTCTCACTATTTAGACATTTCTTTGGATGGGCCTAAAACTGGCCAAACCATATGTTAAATTAGGAACCAGGAACTTGAGTCATTCAGATGCATTTCATTTGATACTCTTTCAAAACACAGTGGGAATCTTTGCCTTGATAAACATTTTTTATCTCTAAACCTCAGTAAAATTTTCAGATTTTGTTTCAAGAAGATATGAGCTAAGGAAATTTTACCTATTTAAGCACACAAGTTTAACTTACTGGGTTTTTCACATCAAAGAGTTTGGTAATGCAGTAATTCAGAGAACAATGACAGAACCTTGCTTATGCATTGGTCAGTGAGCTATATTTCAAATTAATATTTGGCAATACAGGACAGGCAAAATTCCAGAAATTATGACAATAGGTAAATTTATAAATACTTCCCCTGCCCTCTTTCATTGGATCATAGGAAATAAAGAGCCTGGGAATATTTTGCCTCCCATTTGTTTAACTGCTTCAGCATATTTTTAAATACTAGGAGTAAAAATATCCTTTTTGACAAAATGCAGAATTTTCTGCTTGGAAGAAGTCAGATGGTATGAACATTTTTCCTGGTTGTCATTCCTCTTAACTGCTGCAGATGATCTGAGAATGTGTTAAATGTGTTCAACTGGGCTGAAAACTCTTGGTTTATCCAGAGTACTTTGCCAGCCTTAAGGTGGCAAAAACATTGAAATGAGGTTAATTGGCACTGGTGGTGTAGCAAATGGAGCTAAAATTAGACCTAGGAGCCTTGATCCAAAGCCAGGTTTCAGAAAGTCTCAATATTAATTTAACCCTCCTGCCACTGAAGTCAATGAAAAAATTGCTACTAAAGGCAGGTGAAATAGACTTAAGCCTTCAGCAAAACCTGTAATATTTCCAATATTTACAATTGTAATATTTACAGTTCTCTTCCTCAAGGACACTGAACTGCTCTGCTGTTAACATTGGTACCCCAGCATTGGGTCAGAGCCTGGTCCAGATGCTCAGGGCAGCTTTGCTGTGGCTGTTTCAGACACCTCTCGTGCTGAACATCCTCAGAATTCTGGCCCAAACCTCCCCTTATCCCTGCAAAGTCACTCTGGGTCCTGTGTCCAAGGAGTGCAGGATGAGCTGAGAAAGATTACAGCAAAGCTGGTCTCATTGCATTTCCCCCCCTCCCTTGACTCTCTAAATGGAAATTCAGGGTGCCTACTTGAGTGCACAGTAATTCCCTGGGTTTTTACATAGAGTGAACTTCTATGAGATTTATAAATATATAAATATATATAAAATATATAAATATATAATTAAACAGCAAAATTTGAATTTAAGACCTAAATCCACTTGCTTACTAACCACAGAAATATGATGTGATATTTCCACACCATTGATTCATAAGGAATTTTTGTCAGAAAAATGCAAGCAAAAGTTCTAATTAAAAAATACATATATGAAACTATACATATATAATATATAATATATAATATATAATATATAATATATAATATATAATTATTTCTATAAATTAATCTGGCTAAATAAGGCCATTACTGATTCGTTTTCAGTACTTGTATTAATTTTTATCTGAAGGAAAGGAAAATTTTCACATCTTTACCTCATGCTGAATCTCAAATTTACTGCTGGTTAAACATGATCACATAATTTTTATTTCAGTGCTGGGCAGATTTGTGCTGAATGAGAAGGACAAATCTCAGGTTGATGGAGGCATCTGTTGAACAGGATCTTTTTGGGGGTTCAATTGCCTCTTGTCATGGGTGCTAAGATTTAAAGAGAGAGTGATCTGATTCATGCTCCCAGCCTTTTCAAACCCTAAATGGACATTTCAGTGCAATCTCACAACTCTTTATATGAAAGTATTTTCTTCAAGTCTGGAATGAGAGCAAATTCTGAAGTGGTGTAACAGAGTGGTCAGGGGCAGTTCACTGCTATTACCTGGAGTGAAATCTCCTCTCCAAGAGTGAATGATTCCCAACTTATTTCCTTTTGCACAGAGGAACGTAGCAGAAACCTTCACAGATCCAATAATTGCATGATTCAGACAATCCTGAATTTCTTCCTGAATGGAGGACAGTTTGCTTTCCTTTTCCCCAGCACCTATGGAGGTTTACAGCAAGCCATGCAATCACATTTTAAGCTCTGTTTTTCCAGTCATGCCTGGCTGTGGAGCTGCACCAAAGCTGTCAGCCTTATAACAAAGACTCATACAAAACTATCTGGAGCAGTTCATAAAACCTTCAATTAATTTTGATTAGCACCTTGCTCTCAAATGGTTCTGTCTAAATCTCAATAGATATATTTGTGCTGTTGTCTTTGATATAAATAAGCTGAGAAACTGTGCCCCCAGTGCTGTCAGCTCACTGAAACACTGGCCATGTCCTTGTAGGAACTGGAGAATTTTGGAATGGCTGGTAGTGCTCTGCAAATACTCTGCTCTGGATCTCCTTCTCAGAGTCTCATGACTAGTGTGTGGAGGCTGAAAAAGTAGCACCTTAATTTGGCTTCTCCCCTTCCATAATTCTATTTCTGTTTCTTGGCATCCTTTCCTAGTAGCCACAGTTGTTCCCTCCTTCTGGTCGTTGCTAATCTCATTCCTTGCCCTAAATCTCATCTGTTTTTCATAATTTCTCCTTCTCTTGTATGAGCATTTTTCCCTCATCTTTGAGCTGAATATTAATTTGACTGTATGATTCTATAATCTCTTGTGGATTCCTTTCACAGCAGAGTATACAATGCAGTATTAAGATTTCTCCACTTTGTCAAAAAGCCCAATTTGTATTACATCCCTTGCACAAAACCCTCTGTCTAAGCTTGGCATTTCTCTTTGTCGCAGCTGAAAATTATGCTAAATATACCAAAGTAAGCAATGCTTGCTCTCTTTCAAGCTGTTTTATCTATTGTTATTTTGCATATGCACTTACTTGATTTTCCTTTTTTTTTTCCTTTCTTTTCTTTGTCCAGTCACTTTCAGCATTGATTGCCTTCAAATTTTATGTAACAATTTGCTGTTAGCATCAATAAGATGCAGTGTAAGCTGCTGCAAATCCTGCTTCAAACAGGACATACAGTGCCTCTGAGATAAAGAGTGCTCTGTTGACAAAATATAAGAGATGAGATTTAATTATCTGGAACTCCAAACACAGTCCATGTGATTATTAATAGAATTAATACTGCTCAGCAAAATTGACACTCAGACCACTGGTAGAAAGAAATTCAAAAGTTGTTTAAAAAAAAGCACAGAAACCTTTAGTTTAAAGTTTTTTGTTAATTTTCTCTTTTCCTCCTTTTCTTCTAGTCTGACACAGAGTTTTGGGATAAGATGCAAGCAGAGTGGGAAGAAATGGCTCGCAGAAACTGGATTTCAGAGAACCAGGAAGCACCAGGGCAAGTCACCATCTCAACCATCGAGAAGGTAACACCAGGTTTTTATTGCATCTCCCCTCTGCAGCTTTGAGGTGAGCCTCAGCTCTTCCAGGGGACCCAAGAAAACTCTTTGGACATGAAAGATAATTTTACCCCAAAGAGCTCATCCTCTTTAATTACCTGTGGGTGGGGCAGATTTGGAAGACCTTGCCACAGTGGGAATCTGTTTAGGCTTGCACACAGCCTAAATTCAGCTGGATTTATGAGCACTTTTGAAAGCAGGCACTTAAGGAAAAGCACCAAATAAAAATACCTGGGCCAGCACATTCAAAGTGCTGAGGATAAAAATTATGGAGATTCCTTCTCTGTTCTTCATTCCTTCCACTCCATATTTAATTTGATTTCTATTATGCAGCTGATATTACCACACACCCTTTACACTGCAGTGACGAGAGAAAAAGGCAAAACTTCAAGGAATACGAAAATAAACTCAGGTGCTTGCAGCACTGTTGTGTCTCTGGAAGGTTAATTGAGGATTTCAGGATTTTAGCTGAGCAGCTGTAAGGTTATGAGCTCTGCAGGGATTCAGCTGCTTGGTGTGTTCTTTAGCACCACTTTGGATGTCCTGGGCTCAGAGGTTCAGCTCTGCTCTTGGGCACTGTGAGATGTTGACATTACCTGTGTTGGAGAGCCCAGCACAAGCACCACTAGGTACAACTGCAGAGCTAAATTAAAAATAAGGAGCAGAAACATAAATGCCCGGTGATGTGACTTTTTCCACTTTTTGTCATTGAAATCCCACGGGGGGAGCTGGTGCCATTTCCACAGAGCAAAGGTTGTTTACATCATTTGGAAAGCAGTGAGTCACTCCATTTTTTAGACTTGTCATTCCCTGCAACTTGCCATTCACCACGGCTCCATTATCTCTCTGCTCCAGGGTTATTATTTCCACACTGACAATCCCTTCAAAGACTGGCCTGGTGCATTTGAGGAAGGACTGAAAAAAATGAAAGAAGGTGACCTGCCTGTTACAATCTTGTACCTGGAGGCTGCAATTCTCCAGGAGCCCAACGATGCTGAGGTATTCCCTGCTCTGCCTTCTCCTGGCTAAGGCAAAGGGAGCTCCCTGCAGCAAGGAGTGAGGGAATGGTTTCTGGGCTCAAACCTGTGCCAGGCATGACTGACTGAAACATTGGATTCCAAGGGTTATGAATTACTGTGTGCCTTTAAATAGATAACAATGAGTTGTTCTTCACTGGATGAGAATTTGGTTTTGAAATATTGTTGTTTGAAGTATTTCAAAGCTTCCCTTCACATCCTGATATTTTCAAACTGTCTTGTAAACACTGCTATCAAAAGATGAATATTTTTGATTTAACAAGACTGTTGAAAAATTTTTAAAGTTACATAAATTTCTTCAATGTTGCTGTTTTCAACTGGTTTATATTTGAAGTCTGTTTTCTGTGAAATGTTAAAAATATTTATGCTGTATCTAGGGTTCTTTGAATCTCCTCCTACATTAAATTAAACAGCATACTTCAAAAAATCAGAGAATCCCAAGCTCCCTAGAAAGCCCTAATATCTAATATACATATAATATATTTAGAATAACCCCTATATATAATATAAAACTAAATAATTCTTCTTCTACATTTTCCATAAAATTGAAGCAAAATTTAAAATGTACAGAAACTCAAATTTAAGAAATCAGCATGTGATTATACACTGACAGAATACCCATACATTCATTGACTATAAATATTTATTAGCCCCAAAGATATTCAGAACTGCTTTGATTGGGACTGTTGGTGTGCACACTGTAGAAAAATCTGTGGTTAGTGCTGGACATATCTGCTGCTTTTCCTCACCCCTGTGTTTAACAGTGATTTTGGTTGTAACTCTGTTTGCCGTTGGATAAATGTAACAAACTAAATTATTATTATTATTACTGCAGGCCTGGCAGTTCCTGGGTATTACACAGGCAGAAAATGAAAATGAGCAGGCAGCCATCGTGGCCCTCCAGAGGTAAAGGAAGATCTGTCCTAAACCTGGGGTCTGATGAGTGCTGGGTGATGGAGATCTGGGGATGTTTAATGCCATTCCTACCTTGGAATGAGAAGCATTTATTCAGCAGAGTAGAGCATTGACAGATATAGAAATTCCCAGTGACTTCAGAGGGATGACTAGTGATTGATAGTTCTGTTTTATTAAATAAGTGAAACATTTCATGGAGTAATTCAAGTACATGCACAAAAGAAAAGTTACATTGCCTAATAAATACGAGTTAGGCACGATGCAAATGAAGTGCTTTTTTTACATTCCAGCCACTTGGCATATTTTCTGTAGTCTGTCCTCTAATGAAGAGGAGTGAGCTCCCCTTCTTAATTGGAGTGAGCTCCCCTCAGCTGCTGAATGCTAAACTGCCAACACTTTTAGGTTGATGGAGATGTGAAGATCACAGAATTCTTGTACGTAAAATGTGAGCTCCAAAACATCAGCATTATTATTACTATTATTATCTTTCTGTAATGGGTTTTTATGTTTCCATTTCAAGCAATATTCAATTGCATCAGCACTGATAACCATGAAGTAATTTCTCCAAAGGATACTCAAACTTGTTTATATGTCCCTTATTAGCTTACCTGGATAGAAATCCAAGGGGTTGCCTGGTTAGGAGCAAAAAAAAACCAAACTGATCATCAGCAGTTTTCAAAAGAGCAACAGTGATGATTGTGATTTCCTTCACATGGATTACTTTGGAACAATTCAAGCATTGTGCTTGGCTGCAGAAATATCTCAATATATTTTTTATTTTCTGCCTAGGTGCTTGGAACTGCAGCCAAACAACCTAAAAGCTCTGATGGCCTTGGCTGTGAGTTACACCAACACTGGCCACCAACAAGAGGCCTATCAAGCCCTGAGAAACTGGATAAAGCAAAATCCAAAGTACAAGTACATAGTGAGAAGCAAAAAAGGGTCCCCAGCACTGACAAGGAGGATGTCTAAGACAGCAGATGAAAGGTAAATGCAGTGGAAATCCTCACAGTGGAAATACCAATGATAACCCTAGAACTGGTGGTGTCTGCTATGTCCCCTTGTTCTGTAGAAGTCCAGCCTGTTCTCTATATTGGAAGAACATGTCTCTAATAGCAGGAGAGGGAAGCCAACAGAGAATATTTGATTTAATGACTGAAGGCTTTATCTTTTACGCCATCCCTGGAAGTTAAAAAAAACCAAAACCACCAAAAATGCAAAAAAACCCACAACCAAACAACAGCTTAAAAAGGATGTTACTCTTCAAATCCCATCCCTTTCCTCCATCCCTGTCTCCTGCCTTTCTATTCCCATAACCTGCACCCTCATCCTTCAGCTGCTTCCATATCAATACTGAGCCTTTATCCAGCTCTACCTGTGTTTTTTCTACTGTTCACTGTTCCTGCTGTTTTCCCATATCCCAGCCCAGCAGAATCCAGAAATGAGCCATTTTGCAGTGCAACATGAGTTCTCTGAAAATATTGGGAGGTGGCTTGTTTAAAAGCTGTTGTGGTTCTAACCAAGAGACAGCACAGCCATTTCATTTATCTTGGTCATCTTAAATTTAAAAAAAAAAATCATGATTTGGCAGCCCCTCATCATGATTTCATGAGAACCATAAACAAGTACCTCTGGACTGTGAGATGCATAATAAAGTCATTAAAGGCATAAACATGATTTAGAGAACCAAACCACTCAGGCTATCTCACTGCTTGTCATTTTGAAGACAGGCCTTATGTTTTACCCTCATCACTTACAAGTCCTGGGTTGACAAGATAATTTCATATGAGTAAAAATAAAATATGCAGGTTCTGCTTAATTGCTAAGTGTGTTATTCTACTTTGGCTTCATCCTGACATCTGACATCTGGTGCTGTCAGTACAAAGGTTTTAAGAAGCTACAGTGAGCACAGAAATCTTATGTTTTGGCATCTTTCTTCAAGGGTCTTGGCTGGTCCCTTATGTATTCCTCTTAAAAATACTACTAATTTTGCCAGTAAAGGACTGTTTTATGTCTGAAAAACTCATCTAATTTTAATAATTTTAATAAACCTTCGTGTCATTCTACTTGGGTTCACAGCTGTACGTTGACCTCATTTCATAGATGAACTTTTTTTATTTCAGACGTGAGTTTACAACAGCACCCTGAAGTAAACCTTTGCCATGATGAAGAAGCTCATTCACAAATTTTAGGAATATAGCTTCTGATAAATCCACTACAAAGAATTTCATTTCAGGCTATGCAATCAACATTAAAATATTTGTAAATAACTGTAAGTTATGTTTCTCCCTTGTCTAGCTCATTACTTGAAGAAGTAAAGGATTTGTACCTGGAGGCTGCTCACCAGAATGGTGATATGATAGACCCTGACCTGCAGACAGGACTTGGAGTTCTTTTTCACCTGAATGGAGAATTTAACAGAGCAATAGATGCATTTAGTGCTGCTTTAACTGTTCGACCAGAGGTACATTTTTAACTTTTACATTTTTTTAAATTTAGCTTTACAGGCCATTTCCTCTTTCCTGTCTGGATCAGGCTATTATTAATGACATGTCACTTCTGCTATTAAAATTTTAAAACCCAAAATAGAAATGTTAATTACAATACATAATTAACATGGTCATTCTTCTGTTTAGGAGCAGATTTATGCATGTCCAATTCCTACCTATGTGCTGATTAATGATATTAAATACATAAAATTGCTTTTGATCATGAGTCAGAGCCTCACATTCCCTGTCAATTAAGATACAATACTACTATTTTATGCAGTCCTCTTTCCTTTGCAAGCAAAAATGAGACATTATGTCTGGTTTTTGACACCTACAGTAGAAAAGCCATTTTCTCCCCAGGACTATACCTTGTGGAACCGCCTTGGGGCAACCTTGGCAAACGGGGACCGCAGTGAGGAAGCTGTGGAAGCCTACACAAGGGCTCTGGAAATCCAGCCTGGCTTCATCAGGTCCAGGTACAACCTGGGGATAAGCTGCATCAACCTAGGGGCATACAGGTGAGCATAAAAAGATGTGTGAACAAAGAGTCAGGCATCACAACTGCCAAGGGAAAATTCATTTTCAAGCTGGAGGCATCTAAGAAAAAAATAATCAGAATATAGCTACATAATCTCAGCTATTGTAAAATGTTGTCATATCATTTTACAGAGGACTAAAATGCAGTTTTGTAGCTCTATGTGTAAGTACTCTTATAATCAGTGGGATTGTTCTTGCACTTAAAATAGTCCTGCTCTTAAGAGCCTCTGTAAAAGAAAATGTAAGAGTCTGTCTTTTAAAGGAAAACTTGAGTTAAACTGCTTCTAGTAGGGCCATCAAAGACATCCTACAGGAATGAAAGTGATATTCAAGATGATATTCCAGTGTCTCAGCTGTCAGCTTGAGACATGAAGATGAAGGGGAGCTTTGCTGCAATAAAGACAGTGCCCCCAAATGTTCGGGTAGACTGAGTTTTGTGTTACCCCAAGCCAGGCCCTCCTGTTTGATGAAAACCAAGCAAGAACAACACATTGTATTATTTTACATTGTCAAATAGTGTATTTAAGCCTGGCATGGAACTTTAGAAAGTTTGCCTGTAGTTGTTAAGCAAATTATAATGCTTGTTTCTTTTTTCTTTTTCTTCTTCCCGACAGAGAGGCTGTCAGCAACTTCCTCACTGCTCTCAGTTTGCAAAGGAAAAGCAGGAATCAGCAGAATGTTCCCCACCCTGCTCTATCAGGCAATATTTGGGCTGCACTTCGGATTGCTCTGTCTATGATGGACCAGCCAGAACTATTCCAAGCTGCCAATGTGGGTGATCTAGACATTCTCTTAAGAGCTTTTAATCTAGAGCCGTAATAAAAAGGATTCACAAATTGATTAAATTGTATTAGGAAACAGAGAACTTTTTTATTACTCATCCCCAAATGACCACATTTTCCAAAAGCTCATGACTGTAGATCAGTAGGGGAATTCCTTCAGACATTATTCATAAAGGGAAAGTTCAAAAGCACAAAAATTGTGTAAATAAATTCAAAGTCAAAGGGTTGAAATGAGCTGTGGCTAATCGGACAAAGCCCTGAACTAGATGAAATAGCAATTTCTGAAGAATCTCCATCCCATGCAAGCTATATCTCTCTATATACATACAGCTGTAAAAAGAAAAGTATCTTAAGAAGAAACCTAGATAATGGTTATTGCACCTTAGAGTGGCAAGCAGTGCATCCAAGGAACCTGCTTAGTAGCTCATTGCACTATGCTGACACCACTTTGCCCCACAGTGGGGATTCCCTATCCTTTGGTTTCTTTGATGAAAAATCTTCACAAAGTCCATTTTTAACACAGCTCTGAAAATAGATACATGTAAAAGGGATGTGTTTTGTTTTGAATGTATTTATTAGCTGGCAATCAGTGTTTTGCTTCCAAAGGTACCTGGATTAATTTGGGCCCAGTTCTGCAGGCTCATAATCCATGTGCAGTGTCAGGAGGAGCACAGTCCATGCAGGGCTACGGGCTGAGGCCAGGTACATTTGGGGAAGCCAGGTGTTGCCAGCAGAAGAGGCAATTTGCACTGGAATTGTTGCTGTTCAAACCAGCTGTCCTTGATCTGGGACAGTCTGAAGGAGCTCATGGCAGGGTCTGCACCTTTCTGTGTACTTAATGCACTTTAATCTTTCTTTTTGTAAAATAGTGCTATGCTTTTCTTTTAGTCACCAACAATGGAATGTACAGGATGGCCTTGTTGGCAGAGAGGACCAAATATAATTTCCTGAAATGTAATGAGAGGATTCTCAATATTTTTATGTTTAAAAATGCAAATACAGTATAAACTGCATTAACAGCTAGAAAGATTATTATATGCATCCATCAGGTACTGCACATATACATGCATGTGCATGCACATACATGTTGAATGCAAATGATGTCATTTCAGAACATAAAAAGCTACAGATCTTTGTTGCAAATGAAGAAAAATATTTGTAGGGGTTACTGTCTGCAGACCATGCTCAAGGGAAAACTTTCCCTAAAGAAATTGGTCTGTACAATGCTTATAGGGTTGAGATCAAGGCTCCATCCTGCTGTTATGGCAAAGAGCAGCAAAAGTCTCCACGACCTCCATGGTACCAGAGAAAATCCTTAGATAGCACCAGTATGTGTGGCTGCTCACAAATGTGTGCATAAACACACTATTTTCATTTTCCCTGGCTGGATGAATGGGGAGCAGGGTTGGGGCAGTACCAATCCCTGATGAATGGATTGATTCAGCTACAATCAAACACATTTAGCTCTGGGTGAATGTGTCAATCAAAGAAGGCAGAGAGATTTTTAGGAGGTGATTTTCAGTTGCTGATATTTTAAATATTTTTCCTGAATAGCAAAAGATAAAAAGTGTTATTGGATGTGTTGATCTGTGGTCAGGAATTCAATTTGCAGAGTAGCTATGGGAATGTGTTAAAGTGGGACAAATAGCACATTTCCTATAAACAACATTAGAAGAAAAATCCAGCTCAGAGGTCTAAAAAAAGAAATCCAACTGCACAGATCACAGAGAAAGATGCTCTGTGGGAGTTGGACAGTTTCACCAGTACAAACCTAAAGTTTCTTGCAGCTGTCTGTTATTTTGAGCCACCACTTAAAGGAAAATTCCATGTTAAGACAGTGTAATCACTGCATCTAATCACCATCTATAGGTTGTTAAATACAAATAATTGTCATTAGGAAAATAAAAGTCTTACTCCTCACTCTCTCCCACTGAGTAGAGATGACAAAACAGCCACCAAAATTTTTTGAGAGTGCTGTATTAATGCCTTGTTTACACATATATTCCTGTTTACCTATCAGGTGTTTCATAACTGATTCCTGCAGCTTTCTCTGAGGATGAGAGTGCTGGGAATGTCACTTTGGCTAAGTGGGCTGCTGTGTGCATATCTGCTGACAACAGTTTGCTCTTTTGCTTTGACAGCGATGTGTGATGACAGCTCTTTATTGATAAGGCAGAGCAGAAGGTGCAGTGCAATTGAATCTGGGAAGTGATAAGAGAGAAGGGAGGCAGCTTTGAGAAGAGGCTGTAAAGCAAAGGCATATGTGCTTAGGTTTTGCTTGATGCCCTGCCATCACACAACTTCTTCTAGGATATCCTTTGTGCTGGGGTGTAGGATAATCAGTGCTTATGCAGAGGAATTAGCTGTTCAGGGACTTTATTTTTGTATCTTTGAAATTAACAACAACAACAACAACAAACTATTTCTCAGAGTCAGAATGACAAGGGGTATTTGATTCTTGTGGCAGTTTAGTAAACATCTCCTCCAGCCTGTGGATGAGTAATACAGAAACCATTAGGAAAATGTTATGCAAGTCCAATCCTCTCCAAAAAGAACAGACTAAGTAGGTAGCTCTTGGTTTATCCTGGGATGTACTGCTGAAAACTGCATTTATCTGCTGACACATGTCCACGCCCATGGGACTGGCAGGGGCTGTGTGTGTAACCTTGAGACAGCTCAGCAGGGCTGGACTGTGCCCTCCTGGCAGGCTGAGCCCCCAGCCCATCCCAGCTCTGATCCCAGCTGCTCTCTCTGCTGTAGTTAGCCTGTGTGCCACTGACAGGCTAAAGCAGGGCAGATGAGAGGGGACAGGGGCACATCTCACACAGCTCTGGTCACTGTGGGGCAGTGCCTGGAGACTGAGCTCACCTCACTCTAACAGGTCAAGCCCAGCAACTTTTGGGACTTCTGGGCATTCCTTGGGATCCTGGGCTTTATCATCCTCCTTCAGCCCCCTCTGCCAAGCACTGCCAGTGCAGCAGGCAGGATTAGAGACAGCTTTGAGCTGACCTCCTCTTGGCTTTCCTTAAATATTCAGGACAAGTTTGTATATTTGCCTGAAACAGCAAGAGGAAACATGTGAGGAGGCTGCAGCATATTAACAACCTGAATAGAAAATTCATCTCCTTGTGCTTCTAACCAAGCATGAGGTGGGATAAAGATAAATAAGGCGGGTGCTGAACAGTAGCAGATTGAGCCTGAGAGTGAGAGACAGCAAATCTGGGTCCTGTTCTCAGCACTCCCTGGGAGCTCGACCAAGCCAAAGCCTCCTGCCATCCCTGGCCTGCCCAGGTGTGCAAGGAGGGAAGGAAGATGGGAACGGCATTCCTGGCACTCCCTGGGAGCAGGGGGCAATCACTGCCTCACACTGCAGGGGCCAGGTACCCCTCCCCTGGGCAGGAAGGTGACACAAACACAAGGGTGCTCAGGTCTAGGGAAGCAGCTTCACACAGAAACTACTGATTTCAGCAGAGGAGAGACTCGGGCATTTCAGGATGCTGTGGAGCATCCATGAGGTGAGGCCCAGTTAGAGTGCTGCAATGGTGTATCACCATGTCCCACTCCTCTTTCCCTTTCTTGTTACTCCTCTCTTTTTCCAGAAGTGATTGATCACTGCCAGGCAACTGATTCCAAGTTTTTGAACCTTTTTTTCCCCTATTTTATATTTCATGCAATTAAAAAAAAAGTTTTCTTAACCCCAGCTTGGGACTGTCCTTGTCCTTTGCAAACTTTAGGAATAGTTATGACCTAGAAGCCTGATCCATCAAGCTGCTGAACCTGGAAGCCTGGAGTCTGCACTTTGCATGACCAGTTCACATGCAGGAGTTGCAGGAGAGGGCTGGCTCTGGTACCACTGCAGGTGCTGAGCAGGCACTGCAATCCCAGGGACTGTGCAGGGAGTGAGGCTTTGCCATGAAGGCAAAGGGCTCTTGGCTGCCTGACCTCTTTGAACTGGGATGACACAGGAGCCTGGTGGCCACAGGCTGCTTTCTGTCAGCTTGAGGAACCAATCTGACTTTTAGGCACCTACATAAACATACCTGTGTCTAGTGGGGTTTCCTTATGATCTGACAAATCACAGCACTTGTAAAAATATCAAGGGAGAGGTTCAAATGACACAAAAGTCATGTGACAATATGCATGCAACTGCATTAACCAGTAACCACTCTGCAATACTAAGCCCCAGCATGCAGCCACGCTACCTGAGCATGTGTTTAGAGAATGCATGCAGAAGGTTCACACACAGGCTATTCCAAAACTATTGATTCACATCATCTGTGGAACATTTTACAAGTCCGTTGCATCTGCCAGACTCAAATATGAGTTGTTCATATTACCTGGAATAGGCCAGATCAAACACAGAGCCCTTTTAAAATCCCATCCTTAGAATTCACTTTGTGTTGTGGGTTTCACTGTTGCTCCAAGTGTTTAATTAATAACAGACATCTGTATAGCAGCTTTTGCAGACATGTTTTAGTCCTGCTTTTTAGTCCTGAGAGCAGGACCCTCTCAAGAATTAAAAAGCTAAATCTGCACAGCTTTCACAGTGAAGCTGGGTTGTTTGGATTTTCACATTTTCACCACTAGTCTCAACCACAGAAGAGCCAGCTATCCTAGGAATATCCACAGAGCACTCCATGGCAGAAATAACAACAGCTGTCCTCACTGGTATAGCCAGAGCCTGAGGCCTCAATCATTGTCTGCTGGAGCCAGTGAGAAATGGAGCAGAGCATAAATTGGTTGTAGATCTCTTTTGCCCAAACTTGCATCTGAAAAGCGAGACATATTAGTTATTTTCGCATGAATTACCTGCACAGTTGAAAAAATGTGATTTCTGGTCACCAGTGTTGTCAGCTTAGCAGTCTGTACAGTGAATCTATGTAATAAATGTTAATAATATACCAATTATTCACAAAAATGGTAAGACAAAATGCACTGCACGTTGTGAAAAAAAATGGTGGATATGCAATACAGTATTATCTACTATTCAAATCTTACCTAGGCTAGAATCAGATTCCTTCATTATGGTTCTACTGATTTTTGGACTGGTGAAATAAATCAGAGAGAACAGGAGTGCCATGCATGAAGAGATCACTGACACTTTGAACAAAGGTAGGAAAATGAAAAATAGGCATGTCAGAGAATCCATGGGAAGCTTCAGAGCCTCAGCCCACAAAGTAACAGGTATTAGGCAAGGTAAAGAGACAGAAGGAATCTAAATTTTCCTACAATATGCTGTAACTTTACAAATGCTTGCAATATGTGACAGCCCATTGAGCAAGCTTGCATGGTCAAGACTTGATGTGCTTTGATCTCTTTTCCCCTTCTACATTTACAGAATGCCATCGACATTGGCTGAACCTTTAATTTAAATAGCCTTTTTAATATCAGTAAGCTATTGTAAATTCAGAAAAATAAAAAAAATTTATAAATATATTTTATATATCAGAGTATAACATATCTAGAGTAAAATAAAACTATATAGTTTTGAGAGGCATTCTGTGTGGCTTCTTCTATATGCTGTAAACTGTTTGAAAACCTTTGCAATCTTGCATCAGTTCTTTTGGCTTTATTTTTAAGCCAACATAGAGGAAAGAAGTGATTCCAGGGTTGGCAGATCCTTTCACCTGGGCCATCTGAAGAGCCCTGCTGCTGCTGCACAGCCCTGCAGAGCTCCCTGGGCCCGTGGGGCAGTGCAGGGCAGGGCTGGGCAGCACTGCCCAGGTGGGAGCTCAGCCCCACACCTGAATGTTTACATTCCCTTACCAAGGCTCACACTGACCCAGATTCAGAATCTGAATGTAAGAACATGCTGGGTACAAAGTCAGTTTCTTACCACAGGTAACTCTGCCTCTGTATGCTTCGTGCATTATCAGCTGTGTATAATATTAAACACAGACTATAGTTTACTGATGCTTTAATTTGGTGTTTCCCTGCACTGCTGTTCAAAATAATCTATTTCCTCAAAAAAGAATGATGTGCATACTGGATGTGTTAAATTTATTAAGGTCATAGATGACTATTTGCAAAGCACCACACTTAATGTAGTATTTTTGTACTGTAATGGAAGCATGCCTTCCTTGGGTTCTTTTCCACATAATAAATTGTATTTATTAATTGTATTTATAACTGTGCAATTTTTAAATATGTTTTAAAAATAAACTTTGTCTGTGGCTTCAAATATTTCAAAATCTCTTTTCAACTTGAAAGGGTCTTCAATCACTTAAACTGAAAGGAGGGATATAAGTCTCTAACTGAAAGGATTTTTTCAATGAGGCATTCTGTCCTATTGTTTACCAACTGAACATGCTTCTCTGCTTAAATGTTAAGTCCAGAATATGCTTTTGTTCTCATTTTTCCTAAATTCATTGTTTCTCTGAGGCAGAGTTATTTTTAGAATTGATTTTTATTTCGACATGTTGCTCAATTATACTTACAACTGGAATTTATACCAGCTGAGGTCTGGCCCAAAGGGTTCTGCACATACAGCCCATATGAGGAAAATGGGAAAAAAGTAGATAAGAATTTTTCCTGAAGGCCGTGCAATAATTAAAACAGAAGTAATAATATCCCAAACCAACCTTTATGAAAAGCAAAGCCAACATGCAGTGACTGAAATCACTACTCAGGCAATTTCCCACATACCACTGTAGGAGCTGGCTCTCAGCATTTCCCAGTTCTGTCCTTCATGGGATGAGGTGAAAGTGCTGACAAGGCTGATGTCATTCCTGCTCTGCTTCTGCTGTGAGACACCAACACAGGCACAGACACGAGGGATAAAAATTCCTGTGTGTTGCTGTGGACAGGAAAGCTGACAGGCAAGCAGGGGCTGGGACAGTGACAGCACAGGGCCATGGAAAAAGCAGGATTCTCTCCATAGACATGGGGGCTGCTCCAGAAAAACAAACAGAACACACAGCCATGGTTTGCCTGCAGAAGGAAAGCTCTGTCAGAAAAAAAAACAACTGGCTAAAACCTATGGCTTTAACCAGAACCTTCCACCAAGGAACAAAAGGGAACAGACACACAAACCACACTAATCCTTAGGTTAGGACAAAATTAACTGTGGACTCTTGACACTGGTGTGTTTTGCTGGAGATATTAAAGCTAGTTTAGTTCTTTTTGCTAGTTTAGTTCTTTTTGCTCAAATGCACTGACAAAGCAGCAGCAGGAAAATCCTTTGGTTCTGTGCTCCATATCAGGAACACAGCGCTGCTGTTCTAAAGCCAAAGACAGCAGGAGAAAAGCATCAGTACCACATCCACATGCAAAACTGCTCAAAAATCACTGCTAAAGACATCTGAAAACATAATCACCCACTCCAAACAGCTGTCAGTCATGCAGTAATTGTTTTCAATGATTTTACAGCATTTCAGTAATTTTACAGGCTGTCAGTGCTGCCCTTATTTGGCTTAGGCTTGTACACCTGAGGGACACAAAGGTGCAACTTCCCACTTCAGTGAGGGGGAGCAGAGGGTGGGAACTCATCAGGTATCCATCACTGCCTCCCACAAACAGCCTGCAACAGCCAGGCACAAATCCCATACAGGAAACTCCTGGAAATTGTGAACAGAGCTGGTTAGCTTCTACAGGGAGCCACTCTCCACCTCTCCCACCTCTTCCAGTTGCCACAAGTGGTGTGAACAGCGTGGCTTGGGTTGCCATGGTCACAAGGGACATCTGTGATAGAAGAGAAAACCAAAACAGATCATTAGGTTTAGACTTCAGAAGCTGAACCATCTCTACATTTCTTAGCACTCAGCATTGAACGTGTCCTCTACTATGTCAAGAAGTGTCACTGAGGCCAGCAGATTTACCTCTTACCTCTGCTCCAGTTGCTGGTCCTGTGATCCTATAAAAAGCTGTCACCTCTCAGTCTTCTTTTTCAGCCTATTGCATCTACCAGAGTCCCAAAAGTCACATTTCTATGTGAAGTCCTTACACGTGAGGAAAATGGAGTTCTTTTTCCTTTACTGAGCAGCAGGAGAAATTTCTGACTATGAGGAATTACAGACCATGATAAAGCAGAAATTTGGAGTGAAATGACAGCACTATTCCACACAAACATTGCCAACTCTTGTGATCAAAGAACATCAAAAGGCCTAACAGTTAAAAACAAACAAACCAGTCTAACTTAAAACCTGATTTCTATTTTTTGCCATGCTGTATATCCATTCAGGGCTTGGGGATTTTACTTTTTTTTTTTTCTTAAATCCACAGAAATACCAAGAATCACAAGAAATCAAGAGTCTCACAAACCTCTCTGTTCCCTCTGCAGGGTCTTTCTAAGTAAAACACCAAATGCGAACACAAAGAGTGAGAGGCAGCATCAAAACACACTCTGTCTATTCCTCTCCAGTTCAGACAGGAATAAAGAAGCAAGAATCCACACAGTCACCAGATGTGAGAATATTTCTTTTTAATTTAAAACGGTTGCAACAACGTCATTCACAGCCTTTCTCATCTCAGACAAATACTCTCCAGAAAGTTAACAGTGCTTCAAGCAAACAACTCTGAATGGTGCAAAGTAAACCAGGACAGACACTTCCAGGATACAACAGTAAAACCACTGAAGACTGAGTAGAAATCAGACACCAATCTCAGCCATTGAGGGAGGAAGGGCAACGGGGAAAACAATAAAATGTCCAGTTACATATTTTGCATAGACTTCCAATGCATGAGAACAGCAAAGAGGATTAAAATGGCTGCTGCCAGGATGGAGAACAAAAGGAATCAGTTGGAGAGGTTTCTAAGGAAATCTAATGAGCTCTGGATGCATCCACATTTTGAATGTGTTCTGTGACCTGGTGGAGGCTGTCTGAATCTAGAACTGGGCTGATGTTGGTTTCACTTACACCAAAGTCAGTCAGAGGTAATGGCACTGAATCCAATGGAGTTACAAGTGATTGGGAGTTCAGAAAGATCTACTCTTATTTTAAAACTACAGGTCTGAATAAATTAATTTTTATCCTAATTATATTTTAGCTAGGAAGATTAAATAGGAGTTTGAGTCTACATGTGTTTTGGAGACAGGAGATTGTGACTCAGAATGAGGATTCTACTGGATCCAGCATGCTGCTAGGAATAAGAGAAGAGGAAATCAAGGAAAAGTTATTGAGTTTTTCTTCCTTCCTTTCTCCTAACCATACAAAAAAAGTAAAAATAAGTCTGAGAAATAAGAGCATTATTTACTGCCAGGTCCTGGCTTGCCGTGATTCTCAGGTCAGATTGTCTCTAACAGCTCACAGTGATTTTTCTTCCTCCATTCCTTTTTGTCAAGAAGCTCCCAGCTCACAGAGCCCCCAGCACCCACACAGGGAGTGTGCCCAGGCTGTGCCCTGGCACATTCAGCACATTCAGCACATTCAGCCTGCAGCAGGCACAGCCTGGCAGATCAGTCATCCCCTCAGTACAGTCTGTTTGAGTGGGGCTTCTGCAATGCTGGAGTCTAAAAAAACCCAAAACTCCTCTGCCCCCCATGAGGCTGAGGAGTCAGGAGTTTACATCCTGCTCCTCCAGGTTCTTGATGTTCTTCACACAAAGCCCATCACAAAAGGGAGACAACTTAACCAGCCACATGACAAAGGGAGGGAGGCCACTGTTTTGGGAGAGAATAAAGTAATTCCTCAAGCACCTGACTGAAGAACTTCTAACATATTTTTAACTGCTAAATTTTAGAAAACCTGCAATCCTTTCCTCTAAACTGCTCCCTGCACTCCTGACTAACTTTGGTTTGGGCAGGAAAAACACAAAAGTGATGAAATGAGAAGAACCCCAGGACCTGAGCTGCTCCAATTCACTCACCACAGCCAGCCAAGGGCCCTCCCCTTCCAGCCACCATTTCCAGTTTATCACCCTCCAAATGTTCCTCCTGAGCCCAGGCAGCTGCACAGCCATCACAGCCCTGGGATGCACCAAGCACTTTGCAAGATTCCAGCTCCATCCTTGACCCTACAAGACCAGCCATGCTTCCAGTTGGGCAATGAACATGGGGGTTACTCAGCTGGCCTTTATTTACCCAATATTTCTAAATAAAAAGGCAGCAGTCACCAGATCTTGGTGGTTTCTAAATAGCCCTTTAAGTTCATGAGGCAAGATGAAGCTGTTGTGTTGAACTTCTTTGGAATATACATGGGAATTTTAAAAAAAGAATTAAAAATTAAAGGAGGGGGGGGGGGGGAAGGCTTTTTCTCCTTTTTCTACAGCCAGAATGAAGAAACACACATATATACAGAAGTTTTGCTCTTTCACTTTAAATAGAAGATGTATCACTGCATAATTTGCTGATCCCATTTTCAAACCTGTCACTTTCTGGTGAAGTCCTCAAATATCCAAAATCTGGAAGAAGCAAAGAAATTACTGGCAGCTTTTATTTCATCCAGAACTTGTGCTCAATAAGCACAAGGTAGCTGAATGTCACAGGAGCCACCCATTAATGTGCCAGGACACTGCACTAATGTGTCCACAAGAGCTCTAAGAGCAAGGAGCTCTCCCAGCAATGAGACACCTTTACACTCTGTAGAATTATTGCACTGGAATTTCTCTCACAATCTTTTATGATCCAAACCTGATTAAAATCCTAATAGTGTATTTTGGCTCTATGTGCGGCTTTATGACCAGAGGGAGAATTATTTTTCCCCAGACAATGCAAAAACTAAAATTCCCTTCTCATAAACAGATGTTTAATTTGGGTTATCTTCTGTAGTGTGTAGCTGCCTGAATTTTGCTATTAAAACTTGCAGGCACGAACAGCAGAGAAAAAGTAATGACATCTCTCTGGCTCTCCTGCACCCTGCAAAAAAAGTTGGGTTTTTTGGGTTGGTTTTTTTTTACTGCTGCAATTTATTTTGAGGGCTTGGTAACATTGTACAAAGCAACTCCAGCAACAGCCTCTAAGCAGTGTCCAACACTGGGAACCTTTGGGTTATTTTTCCAGAATCATGAAAGGTTTTGCACTCACCATTGTAATTTTTCTAGAATGAGTGTTTTCAAATATAATTTTAAAACCCACATATGCATTCTCACCTGTGAAAAACACTTAAATAACACCATAAAAATTTTTAAAAAAGACAGGAAAGGCCAGCCCCTGCCTACCCACCCCATCATCCCTGCCAGAGATATCAGACCCCTTTTAGAAGGTGTCTCTTGAAGAGATCAGATTATTGATGCATTTGCAAGTTTAAAGAAAGTGAGAATATCAATTCAAGGGGGTTTTCATTGTGGTGTTTTTTTTTTTTTTTTGTTCCTGTTGGTTGCTGTTGTTTTGGCTTGGTTTTTTAATGGAGGAAGAGAGGGGTAAATCAATAAATCGGAAAACTCACTGAGCAATTTCCCGCATTCAGATATGAAAGTCAATATTTAAGCAATCTTTAGCAGAAAGCAGGATTGCACTGCAAGTACTTTGTCAGGGAGTTGATTTCAGACGGAATATGAGTGGTCTAGATACAAATTTCCCTGACATAAATATAATGGGACATTAAACCCTTCTTTACCTCCTCCATATGAAAACAAAATTTAAATAACAGCCTTGCCTTTCCTGAGGGTGTGCATTTAATTTCATAGTCAGAAATTCTGCTGCTTTTAGCCATCTGTAATCCTGAATCTGTTGGTAGAACTTACTAAATAAACATTCAAGTGAAGATGAAGAAACCTATGTCTGCAAAAACAAAATTTCTCTTTGGCAAAAAATGTACAGGGCATGACAGGAGATTGCTCCTGTCTCCATCAGTCTCTCAGGCTTAAGCCTGGAAAAGTCAAATCAAGATACTGTACCACTGAATTCCAACAGATACAACTTCAGCTGACTTTTCTCACTGCACTGAAAATGATCTCTGGAAAAGGACATTCTGCTCTGAAGAACAGCCACAAACCGCCTCCCTTCAAATGATTTCTCTACATGATCTGGACTCTGGATGCAAACACAGGCTCCCAGTCACCAAGGACACAAAAATCTGTTTGTGCTCTTCAGAGGATGCACGGGCAGGACAGGCAGGAGCTGGGCTGAACTGTTTCTGCTCAACACTGAAGCTTCCATATTCTCCACACACTAGCTGCAAACTCCACCAGAAATCCACATGGCCTGCAAGGTGTATAAATTTAAAACAATGTCCTATACAGCACCTAATAGAAATCTTCCATCTAACACTTAAGGCGGCATCAAATGATTGTTTTTAAATACACTATAAACATCCCATGGTTTCCTTTGCTTTTTGGCAGTCCAAGGGTTAAGGGGTCTTTTGTTGGTATTAGATTTTTATTGTAGGCTTTTTTTGGGCAGGTTAAAAAGGCTTATGGCTTCTTAAGGCCAGGTGATAGATTTGAGGCCTAACTTGGTATCCTGTGGTAAAAATAAATGTAGCCCAGGTCTTTGGGAGGTCGTTCTGAGGCACAGACTCTAAGGTCGTTGTAGATCACCCATCTGAAAGGAAAACAAGATTGATTACATTCCAGGAGTGTAAAAATCACCACAGATTTATCAGAGACTTCTCAGACCCAAACCTCAAAGAGTTTAAAATCTAAAATTAGGCATTGCAATGAGAACAAAGGATCAGAGGAACAGCTGAACCAGCTGCCAGAATCAGGAACTAAAAGGGAGGAGGGATATGCAGAGGAATGTGTATTTACAGCTCAAATGAAGGAAAATCAGGGATTCCCAATGTCAAATAATGGCAGCATATCAGAATCACAACAAGATCAGCACCACAGTACCAGCAGCACTGGTATCAGCCCATGGTTCCATGGCTTTCTATTCATGGGCAACAAAAGGAAGTTGGGAAGAGCTCAGACAAACTCAGCCAGATCCAGAACCAATGCCCCAAACTGAACAGAGATTTGGAATGGCCAGCACAGGAGAGCCAATGGTACATTTCACAGACATCAGTGGGATCAGAACTGACTCATCACATCTGTGACAATTTTAATTTTTTTGGTGGGAAGCCTCCAGATGGTAACAGCCCATGTTGTCTGCCATGAGCATGCCCTGCTCTGTACAGATTCTTCAGATCAAATCAATTGAAATCAAACATTTGCTGATCCCACGTGTCTCCCCCAGCTGCACTCACCTTCCCTCCTTTCTGAGGTGACAAACGTAGTGGCCACTCATTGTGGATGTTCCCATGTGGCTGATGAACCCAAACAGCTCATACCCTGTTTTAAGAAATACAAATGGCACCCTAAGTATTTCACTTCTATCACTGCAGTATGACTCCAGGGGAAATGTTCTTTCTAATACTGGAGAAGAAGCTAAGCACTCCCAACACAGACTCTGCATCCCCAAACTCAGTTTCTGTTAACACTGCAGCATGTTTCCAACTTAACTAGTGGCTCAGATTCACTGTGAAACATCAAACCAATCCAAATCAAACCCACAGAGACCTGTGCACATACAGCAGGGCTGTGATCACAGCCCCTGCTAGGAAAGAAAACAGCAGATTCATTCCCAGTTCACAGAGAGCACCACAGAAAGTGCCAAGCAGGGAGCTCATTCTGCACACAAACTAGCTATGTCTATATGTGTGATCACAGATCTCCTATAAATCAAAAACCACAGAAGTCTGTATTTCAGCATAGAAGAGAGGACAGGAAAGAAAGCTCTTCCTTTAACACAAGGACAATTTTTAGGCTTAAAGTCTCTGGAGAGTTCAGCACTGGTTCTTGATCCCCACCCATTCATGCCATTCACCTGAATTACCACTAAAACTAAAAGGGTTCCTTCTTTCAGGGTATTGCATAAGGACATGGGCCTGGATTTTGCTGGAGAGGGCTTTCTGGAGCTATTCCACAGAATCATGTTTGTTATCAGGATTTCAGGCACTCAGTAAAGAGTCGCAGTCTATAAAGGCTAAGTACCACAAAAAATAATTATTCCAAGTTTGGGGGTTTTTTTTTAACTTAGCAATAAGCAATGTTTCCAATGTCTCCAAAATATTTAAAGTTGATATTTATAATTTTAATCTAACAGTAGCAACCACAGACACAAAAATCAAATTGCCTGGTAATTTTTTTCCTAGACCTTTACATTCAAGACCAGAAGTAGAAGTTTAGAACATACTACAGTTATTAGAACTCATCACTAAAGACCCTTCAAAAAACTTTCTGGGACATCCTTAGCACCACCACTGAGCTTTTGTACTCCAGTGCTGTGACACCTCCAGGAGGTTCTTCTCAACTTTGCCTGCTGTACATCAGCCCCATCTTGTGGTTTATTTAGCAGCAGTGTGACAGAGAATCTCAATCAAAAGAAAACAAAACATGCAGGACACCAACTGTACTTGTGGTAGTGTGAATAAGGAATTTGGTTGAAGGGATTATCAAACTTCCCAGCAGAGCACAGGAGGACAGAAACTCAGGTGGTCTGTAGCAGCAGTGCTCTCTTTAGGATGCTCAGCCTCTGAAGATTTCAATATTCTAGCTTTTCTTTGTCTTTTTTTCTTATAGCAACAGAACAAAAAGTAAACCTAGGCCAAGAGAGACTTGTGTGCTCTAGTAGCAAAAAATTTTGGGCTCTGGTTATTCAGTGAGTCCAAGCAAAGAGTTTTCTGAGCAATGACAGCCCACAGAACTCCGTGGCCCACAGAGCTGTATCAGCCCCAGAAACAAAACTGCAAGTAAATTGCCTGGATCCTGCATGAAAGAACCCACAATAACTACTTTCAAAACTGAAAGGAGCTCTATGAACGGGGTGGGTGTGACACAACAGAATGGCAGCCAGGTCTAAGCTGAAGCAGAACTTACTTCCAGGGCCATCTTTGATCCTGGGTCCCTCTGACCCTGTCTCTGCAAGGATATTGGCATTGGCATTGTTCTCCATATCCATGGTGTCCAAAGCAGGGTCACTTTCTTCCTCAGGGTCAGGGTGGCTGAAGATCCACTCCAGTGCACGCTCCAAGTTGTTGTTCTGCCAGTCACACAATCAAAAGAGCAGCCTTTAATACACTCTAACACCACACTGCCACTCATCAGCCTTTGAACAGAGTAAGGATCATATTTACTGCATTTAAAAATTGTAAGATACCTCCACCTCCGTGGAAAATCGTATTCAGCAAGCACTCTGCAAAAGCTTGACATATAGAAAAGAAATAATCCCACAATTAAGACCCACAGCCCCCTGCTCTTATCTTGCAGACACACAGTCTCCAAGCATCCAGGTTATTTTTCAACAGGTTGTAAAAGCAGGTAAGTTTTCCTCACTTTACCATTCCAGTGAAGTACACAAAGCACCTTTCCCACTCCAGAAAAGTCAGGAATGCCACACCTTGCCAGGATAGCTCCAGGCTCACCATGCATTAACTGGATATTTGCACATTTCAAAGGCATCTGAGCACCCACATGCACAAAGCACAGAACATGAAACAAAGCCCCAGTGCTACCAATAACCCATGAACTCACTGTTGCCTTCAGCGCCTGAATTGCCACATTCCTCTGGAATCCCATGGAAATGATGATTGCAACCATCTCTTCAGGAGGCTGGTTATCTAACCCTACAGCTCCTAAAGCAGCTGCCCCACTGGAAGCAACTTCTCCAAATGCAGGTATGACCAATGGCTCAGCAAAGTCTGAAACAAGCAAACATTCATCAGTTCCTTCTTTTGCCTCACTTAACTGGAAAGTCAACAACAAACATGAACAAACAACACACAGGACCTCAAAAGCAGTCCTGAAATCAATGTAAGTTCATTTCACTGGCATCTAATTTCACACTTAGATGTGTGGAAAGCCTTAAAAACAACAAAATGAATGTGCACTTTGCAAAATATCTAGGTGCATGTGCTCATACTGAGCAGACTGGAGTAAGTCAGCACATTGCAGAAGTGAAACAACTGCAGGAAAGCAGCAAAGATTGGTATGGAAGCAATGATGGCATCAGGATAATAGACAACCCAGTGCACAGATGTAAAATGAACTGATTCCATATCTGAAAATGTCTGCTAAGCCCAAGTGAAACTCATTCCCCATTTACACAAGCAACACAAAAGCTCATGGTGAAGCGTGAACTCAACCAAATCTGGGGTTTCCTGACAAGGGAGTTCTCAGTGCTGAATCATGAGTCCAAACTTTGCAGAGATGAAACACAGGAAGTGGAGAACATCTAGCAGCCCTGTTCATCACCAGACAGCCCAAGTATGGCATGAATGCTCCAGCCTGAGCTAGAGAAGGCTGATATGGAAGGAAAGCATCCAGACCACAGGATTCTTTGTACTTACACTTGGTCACAGGTCAGCTTCCCCCTTAGCAGCACGGACCTAGCCAAAGGGTGGAAACAGAGCTGGCCCACACCAGTGGTGAGGACATGACTTCTGGTGCAGCTTAGTTTGTTGTCTTCTTCTAGGCAGAGGACACCACATAATGGTCAAGATCTGCACATCCCAGGAGCAGCTTAGGAAAATTCACTCACACCTCCAGGTTTCCCAGGTGGGGAAGGGGGGGCCATTGTTTCTCTGTCACACATTATAAAATTTCTACTGACTGGCAAAATCCACAACCAGGAGCTGAGTTTAACTTACAGCCTCCAGTGACTGACCTGGCTCTTCCATGTGTGCAATGATCCAGTTGAAAGCAACTTCAGCACCCAGGTTGCCGGTATAGTACACAGCCTTCCGACACGCCTCCAAAGGAAAGCCCATCTCTGCCAGCTGCATTACTGAAGACTCATCAATATCTAGGGCTGCAAGAAAGGACCTTCTAAAATATAAAAGTCTCATTTCATCCATTGCATGATATTTCTTATTGTTACTCACGGTGCCATATATTAGAGTACAGACTGCTTGGATTTGGTTTAGTACTTCAATAAACCCACAGCCATCAGAAAACAGCCTTGTACAAAGCATGACAGTAGTTATTATAGACTTACTGATAATCTTTTGTCTCACAGAGACACAGATCCTCACACAAATCATTAAATCTGGATGAATTCCTACAGGATTCTATTTCTTTTAAAACACTTCAGCACTGGATTTTAAGAGGTGAGGAAGTCAGGTGCTGAGCTCAGCTAGAGATGGCAGCCAAAACCAAGCCCCTCTCAAAGGCAGGATGTTGCAGGTTAGAGAAATAGCAGCTGCCAGATCTGGCAGCCTCTGGATGACAGGGTCAGACAGCTTTATGTGAGATCAGAGTGCAGAGGGATTGAGTGGTTGTGACCCCCAGGACTGCAAGATCCTCCTGAGGTGCAGCAGGCAGAGGAGCAGCTCATATTCTGGCTATACCAACCCTCAAAGAGAGTCCTGCACACATGGAATGAACACTGAACAAGCACAGAAATCAGCTTTTATTTGGAAGCATGCAGGGCAAGGCTTCATGCATCTCTGTGAAGAGAGAGAAGCCATCAGCTGAGCAGAAGCAAAACAATTTTTTCAGCAGTAGAAAAATGAGATACGTACACTCCACGAAATGGTTCATCATGTGATCTGAAAATTAACAATGGAAAAAAACAGGGAAAAGGCTAAGTAGATCCATATGGGTAAAACAATTCCATATTTTTAAAATCATAGAAATATTTGACCTCATGGAGACAGGGCAGTTTCATCCTTGTTTCCCTGATGTTTTTGCCATGAATTAGAGCAGGGATATTTCTGCTCAGTAATTGTTTCTCCTAACTCAGTACAGAGCAAAGTGTCACTGATACCATAAACCAGGAGGAAATAAAGCTGATGGCTGACGTAAGCAAGAATCTTTTTAAAAAAGTACCATCACACATGCACTTACACTAAAACTAGGTCAGTCCATTCAGCAAGAGGGTAAGGAGGTAAAGGCCTTTGTGAGGAACTTACACAGATAAGGGATGGAATTAAAACCTTTAGGGAATTGAAGTTTGTCATATCCTTGCTCTGCACACAATTTCAGGTACTAGCTTTCTTTCACATACATACAGCATGGTATTCTGCCACCACTATTATAAATCTCCAAGCAAATGGGGCCACTCATGTCATGAGAGCAGCTGCATTACTGGCTTCACATTAAATACTGAGGCACTCAAACTTCAGTCATCTGGGGAAAGTGCAGCCACCTGGGTCTAAGGTCACACCATAAAAACATGATTTTACTTGCTATAAACCATTTATTCTCCAGGGAAACCCAGGGAATAAAGAAAGAGGATATTTAATATTCTTGTTTCTGAATAAAAGAAACAGTATAAAAGAAAAAGTATTCAAGGAAAAAAAAAACAGCACAGCATTTTAATCACTTCTCTTTCTTTCTTCTCCATAAACATTATAATCAGCTGTTTGTCATCTTCTCCTTGAGACAGAGCTTTTTTTTTAATGGCAGCCCATATACATCCAGAGAAGAGGACTGTGCATGCAGGCACAGCTGCTAGGGTCGAACAAGTCTTGTATTTTTAAAATGAGTAAAATTTAGAGTCTTAGCCTATGCCTGGAAAGCTGTTCTCTTAAGCTGTAGTCCTTTGTGTATTAAGTACTGCTGTGCTGTGCTGGACCTGGGAAGGTCACAGTGACTTTACTCCAGGGGAGTCATGGGCATGCACTGAAGGGTCTCTGGAGAGAGTCAAGGACAGCAACAGCAATTATTAAACCTTCTAGGGAAAGAACTCCCTATCCATAGCAAGGGATCTTTAAGATCCCCTCCAACCCAAAAAACTCTGTGATTCTATAATAAATCCCCAAAACAGGAAAGCTGGAAGAACTAGGGTTGTCCAGTAGGGAGCAAAAAAGGCTGTGGGGTGTTTTGAGAGTCTTCAATTACAGAAGCACAGGGCTGGGTTTTTGTTCATAGCTCAAGAGAATCCCCATGTGCTAGAAGGAAAGGGGAATACAGGGGAGAGTAAGTCAGTAAATACCTTTTGGGTCATCAGGAATGACAATGGGAGGAGCAATGTCTGGGAGTTCCTCTTCTCCTGGCTGGAGCCCCCTGGCCCGAAGGTGAGTGATATCCAGGAAATCTGGCATGTCAATAGAAACATCTGCAAGAGCAGAGAAATGGGCTTAGCTTCTGCAGCCAGCAAAATGACCTTATGGTGCAACCTACCCCTTCAGAGAGGGGACTCTGGTACTCAAAGTACAGGAACAGCCAGGATTCTCCTTCTGAAAAGAGCTTTTTGAGAAATATGGAATGCCAAAGCACAATTTAACTAGCTCAGATTACATGAAACTGTGTTTTAACTCCACAGACCTGATGGATTGGTTAAATTTATTGTAAAAGGGAAAAAGATTCAATTAGGACCTTCACAGTACAAACTTATTACTTGAGTCAGGTCTTCACTACAGTGTGCACATCTTATTAATTATCTGGGATAGAAAGGTAAATAAAACAAGCACATACCAAGCTTTTTGGGTATCCAGTCAAGGCCAAAGGTGAATTTCTTTATCTGCACCACTAAGTACTCAGGAAAGGAAGCAAAGCGGGAAGTCCTGGGAAGGACAAGAAACAGAATTCATTGAAATCAGGCAACAGAATCCCCAGCAGCACAGATCCCAGTACCTCACGCACACTGAATGAGCTATTGCTGCTTGACACAAAGGATCCAACCCTACAAGCATTTAAAGTTCAAGTTCTCAACAACCAGACCGAATCACTTCTTGGACTCTGACCATTGAGAACAATTAATTTCCCACTCAGTTCATCATTACAACTCTTGCAAGGCTGGATCTGCACATCCCACTGATGAGCCCCAACACTAATGTGATGCCAGAGCTCACTGTGCATTTGTTTGTTTCTCTCTGCACCATGCCCAGGTAGGAAGATAAGCACAGAGCACAGTTTTTAACAGGCAGGCAAACACCACTTACTTAACTCCAGCAGATTTTGCTTGAAGGGCACTGCTCCAGAAGTCCTCCACATTGCTGGGTTCAGAAAAGGCCTGCAGACAAGCACTAAATGGGATCTTGGCACGGACCAGCTCTGGCAGAGGCCTCCTTGCAGCTTCTGCTTCTCGCCTCTTCAGTTCATAGGCAATTAATTCATCTGAGAAATACACACAACACTAGAAGCTAATGAACATTGTCATGGTTATGTGCTCCTCATCAGGCTTATTTCTGCAAGTTTTAGAAATGCAAAAACCTACTTAGCAATAATAGTTTTACATACTTTTAACTAGACATCAAATCTTTTTGTCTGCATTGGGGTCAGGAGCTACACTTACAGCCACATCTCTAAGGTTTCTGTTCATGGTGAAAACACAGAACTGGAGGACACAGGCAATGAAAACTTGGCCATGACAGCCAGAATCCTCTGTGAACAGTAATACCACTCACCCACTTTATCAGAGCTCAATCTGAGTTGGAAAGTTATTGCTGTCTATCTGTGTCATCTGACTTTTTACACAGGCCAGGATTATGTATGATCTAGAAAAAATCTTGACACTGGTAAGCTGAGCAGTGCCATATGTTAAATTCACAAACTAATCTGTCTCCTGAGTCATTACCTGGAAATAATATGTACTTTTATAAGCAACAGAGTCATCACTGAAAGAGATTAACAAAGAATGAAAAGTTCTCCTAAACTTCTTGTCCAGTGCAAGGAGTTGTAGGCTAGGTAAAAGTAGGTAGAATTCTCTACCATGTGGTATTTCATAGCATCTCATCAAACAACCAAAATAGAACCTTCTGGTTTTAAAATACTTTAAATGTTCAGATTATGTAGGAAATCAGAGGCACATCTCCCTTCATGTTCCTGTGATGCCCCCTTCACTTCTACCTCAAGCATGCATTTATTATGTTATTCTGCAAGGCTCTTCACCACTGACTGCAGATGAAACCACATTTTGTCAGTGCCTTCCTCCTGCTCCCAAGTGTTCAAGCCTCCTTGGCCATTTTCTCCTTTACAAACAAGGGTGCTTTTCACAGGCATGAGGAAAACACTCCTGCTTATTAAATCAACATCCAATAGTTCATCCTCCTTCCATCCACCCCTAAAGCCCAGAACACCCAAATTGTGTATTTTAGATTTATAGATTAAAACTACCTTATACTCCTATTCTGTATTATCACATTAGATCTTATAATATTCTGCTAAAGAAAAGAAAGCAGATTTGGGTTTTTGGTTGTTCTTTGTGAGTGTGTGCTTTTAAAAGATACAAATTAGCTGGTATGTTCAGCTCATTTTTATAATGAAGATGCTTTCACAAACTGTTTCACTGTCCAGGATAAAGGCGATTCAGCGCTGGTGGGGTCTCTGGGCACAAAGTGGCACATCCCTGGTCAAGCAGAGCAGTTTGCCCCGTTACCTTTGTTGGTGGCTGCCTCCATGGCCACGGGGAGCTGCATGATGTAGTCCACCCTGTGCGTGTAGCGCACCTTGCGGGACTGGCAGCACTGCGTGCGCTCCTCCACCAGGAACCGGAACACATCGCTGGGGTTCTCCGAGCCTACGGGGTTCCTCTGAAAGGAACAGCACACCAGGTCACTCCCGTGCCTCTTGGAACCCTGGCTGCTGAGGGTTTCAGACCTTCTGTGCTGACAGACACTGACCCCCAAGGAAACACTGCATTTGACCTGAAGCCGTAGAGGAAAGTTCCAAAATTGAATGATAGGACTGAGATTATGAGTGTGGAGTTTGGATAGAAGTGTGCAATATCACATGGTAGAAAACATAGATTTTAAGGTTTTAGAATGTGGTAATATATATAAAGCAAAAGGAAAGTTCATCTTCTTCTCCATAGGTTTAAGTAAGGTTTTAATTAGATTAAAAAGTCAGCATTGCGGAGCATGAGTAGTTAGTTATAAAAGAAAGTATGTTAGTTATAAGCTTAAAAGTAAAAGTAATTTAGGTGTCATTTCTTAATTAGACAGTTTATCCTTAAAAAGCCTTGTAGAGAAAAAGATACAACTCCATTTTTACCTTGTTAGAGAGAAGTACTGTAAAACTCACAACTTGTAAGACTATAATATAGGTAAGAACTAATAAACATCTAAGTCCAAACAAGAAATGCCATCTCACAATTTAATCCCAATCTTAGCAGAGAAAGGAAACAAAAGAATCCACATGTGGTGATCACTAAAATGACCAGAAAATCCAAAGGCTGCTGGTTGTTTTAAGGCAAGCACAAAGACACTGATCTGGCAGCTCAGCTCACACTGGACTGTGTGCAGAGCTCTGTCCCCTACAGAGAAAACCACCACAATCCACAAGTTCTGCACTCACAGCAGCATCTTTCTACACACAGAACTTGCAGGGTTTGTTCCTGAGAACATACAAGATCCTGACTGAGTCAAGGTGAGCAGAAGGTAGGAAGGTGGCAAGTTACAGTAAAGACAGAAAGCTCAGAAAAATAACATGGAGCATCCTCTCAGCAAACAGAGTTGCTCCTACCACTCTGAATATGCACTGAAACAGAACAAGCAACTTGTAGTTCATTATCTAGATGGGAATGTCATGCAAATAATATACCTCCTCCTTGTTGTTCATGTTAATGCCTGTTATCAGGCAAGAAACAGAAAAGTCTCTTCTAACCACCCTATAATCAGTACATGCATTTAGGGATGTGGAACATTATGCATACAAATGTGAGTAACTTCATCTAGAGACTGAACCCATGAATAAATAGCCTTGATTCTTGGGGAAAATGGGAAACGAGGGAGGAAGGGCAGACAAGAAATGCTTTACATCAAAACTGCATGTATTTGTAAATTCCTTTTCAGAAAGACAGCATTAAAATTCACAGTATGATTCCTTTACACACAGCACTGAGCTGGAGCTTGGTGGAACTAAAGCTTTATACAGAAATATTCCACTGACAAACAGCCACTCTGCTTTCAGCAGGGGAATCCTTCCTCCCATGATTCAGTAACATACAGCTGGGATTTGTACAACAGCTGGACAGGGTAATTAATTTGCTCCCAACAATTATAAGAACTTGGAACAATAACAATAATAACCATAATACCCAATTCATTGATATTCTCTGGCACATTTCAATATGATAAACAGGAACAGCAATTTAAAAGGTCACACATGTTTATGAATTTTATAGCCTGTACATTGAAGCTTGACCTCTTTATATTTAGCAGCACCACTGGCCCTGCTCATGGTCATGCAAGAGTCTGAAGTAAAGAAGACGAAGAATTAAGAAAGCAAATGTTTCTAAAACAAAATACAGTGTAATTAGTCCCACCTTCTACATATCTAAGGCTAAAAGTAATATAACTAAAATATGAGCTACTCATGTAACAGTTTTGGCTTCATTGTCTAATATAACCAGAAAAAGAAGTAGCAATTCAGGTTTTCTCACCTCTACTAGATTTATCAGATGTAGGAAAAATTCCTGTGCATCTTGTTGTCTATTAGAGGAAAATTCTGGGTGGCCTTTACTTATAAAAGCCTTGAACATTCGAGGAGATATTCCATTGTGTTGAGGCTAAATGAAAGAGAGAAAAACCATTTAAAAAGGGATTTTTATTCAATCATGAACCAAATATCTCAAAGTTACTCCACTAAATCTATCTATGGCCCATTTCTGGCACTGGAGGAATGATAGCTTCCATTTCACCTATTTTTCCATTTTAATAAAAATGGGAAGGGTCCTGAAACAAGATTTGAGGGGGTTCTGGAATATGTTTTATGGCTTAGTTCCTGCAGAACTCACTCTACCTGTCCTTTGGCAATTGGCATTTTAAAGAGATTACTGGAGGTTTTTAAAGGTTAGTAATTTTCAGAAAGGCTGAAAGCCTACATTGTTATATAACATTTGATATTGCTTTCAGAACCCTGTGCCAGAGCATTGAAGCACTTTGGTGTATCAGCTGGCAGCTTTCCTCAGGACAAAACCTTCCAGAGAGCTGTGCAGAACCAAGCAGAGAACATCTAATGTGTGCAGCATGCATTCCCAGGTGAGTTTTTAAGAGCAGACATGAATTTGCAATTTGCAGGTGATGGTCATGTTGAAAAACCATAACTTACTGCCTTTGGCCATTCAGTTACATCTGAGCAAACTGCCCTAAATTAGAAAACCTCTGTCTTCCAAGACAGTCCTGGTTTTGACTTTCTAATCCTTTATACCCCTTTAAGAATCTCTCCAACCATTCCAGATCCTCAAGACAACACTAGCTATTACACTTGTCAAATAACATTTTTGAACGGGTCAGAATCTATTACTGAGATTTGCCCTCACCTTCCATGAAAGCAAATAATTTTCTGCACAATCCAAGCACAAGTATAACCTTTAGGAGCTCTCAGAGGCTGTTAAAAACTCAGCCAATTTCATTCCTTACTACATATGAATACAACAATAGAAAAAGCAGCATGAAATGGAGGCCATATAAAATACACACTGGAAGAGTAAATTCTTTTTCTTTATTTTACCAGGGTGCAATATTCATTGAAATCAGAAGCAGATTCTCATTTTTAAATGCTTTTTCCAATTCTTGGCAGTAGACCACCAACCACATCAGGCTAAGATGATCCCTAAAGGCTCCCATCAAGAGACAGACTCTCTGTATTGCTTGGAGAGAGAGATGCTCTGGGGATTTCTGCATCCTGGGTTATGCACTGCTTCAGTGTCCTCAACTGCCTTTCATCCAAACTGGGACTGGGGAGATAAGTGCATAAAGCAGCTCACATTGCAACTTCTTCCTGCGCCAGAAGCAGGAATGTGGCACACTGCTGTACAATGCTGTTTAATGCACTCAGTTTGGAATCAAGCCTTGTTTCCACCTATACACTTTGTACTCAGCCCCTTGAGCAGGAAGAAGAGGAGCATGCCATATGTGACAGTCTGCAAAAATAGGATTGAATCTTGCAATCTCACCTCAAGGACAATAAAAGGGGGGGGGGGGGTGGGAAATCTAAACTCAGAAGAAATGTTAAAGCTCAAAGCAGAAAATCAAGCCCTGGCTGATGACCCTTTAGGGTCTAAAGTGGGTCCAAGGAAAATGCTGCCATTTCCAGTCTAAACTTCTGTGGTGAAAAATTTCAACTCCACAGCACCATGAATATTTACTGAATACCTGGCATGCTTTCCCCATCAAGAGTTGCAAAACAGTTTAGCTAAATATAGATTGTGCTGGACCACTGCAGATCTCATATGAATGCTTTTACAGGCAACACCTCCCCAACTTTGGATGAATTCCAAAGGCTCAGAAAGACTGAGAACTTCTTTGCATGTAGAAGGGGAAAAGAAATAAAGGAATAAAAGTTAAATGAATAATTGATATTATAGACACAAAGCAGAAGCACTTCAAAACATTTAAGGCCTAAAATGCTAAGCAAACAAAAGAAAAAAAAAAGCATTGTCAACCTGAAAAAAACATAGATTTGGATTCCAAGAGTGAAGGAATAGAGAAAATATCTACATCTGACTTTTTCTGTAAATAAATCATCAATACAACAAGCATAAAAGGCTGTAAAAGCTGTTTCAAATCCTAATATATGCTCTCAATTGCTTGATAAGGATGCTTCATGCATGTAACTTCAGCTTCATTAAACTGAACTAATGAACACAAGCACTGTTAAATGTCAGTAGAAGCCTACTGCAACCTGACAGAGTTTCATCCCATCTGTCATTAAAGAGTTCTCAATATCTCATCTAATAGTGGCTGCTGAGCTAAACAAGGAGATGCAGCTTTATTCCAAGGGTTCAGATCCCTGAACTTCCAGCACATTATTTTCCAGTCACATCCTGGATGTGTTTAGGAAAGCAGGTCAGCGAGTACACATAACTCAATGTATGGAGTTTGCTGAAATCTGTCCCACTATTCCTTTGCCCCAGTGCTGATTAGCCTTGAACTTTATTTAATAGGAACAAGCAGGATTTGCTTGTTCCAAAACATTGAATTGCCACTGTACAAAGCAATTACTTGGGAGACACATGACTGCCAGGTCATTCAAACTACTCTGTACCAGATGCTCTTTCTGTCCAAAATCTTATTGGCATTCTGATTTCAGGAGAAATTCCTATGTCAATAATTGATAGATGAAGGTAGAGGAAAATATCTGTTTCTTTGGCAACCACCACCATCCCTCAGTGGCAGAAGCATGCATTACTCCTGTGGCTCTGCATGGCCCCTCCATCTCCAAAGCCCCCAGCACCACCCAATCTTGCACTACCTTCTCCTGAAGTCAAGTGGAGTATTGTCAGACACTCCCTGGAAACAATTCTTTAGCTATTTATACTTTCAGTAATTTAAAGAGGGTTTAGAAGTTTGCTTCCAGGACTCTCCGCACAACATTGTTTTTGTTGTTGTTGTTCCTCAGAGAAGATAAACATTGGTTGCAAGTTGTGTGAACATTTGCACTTGTCACTGGAGCAGCAGAGCACTTTATCAGCAGAACCAGTGCTTGCTTTGATGCACTGCACAAATAGTGCCTGACTAATTTATCCCTGACTTAGTAATCTTCACATTCCACCTTGCTAAGCATCCCATCCATGCTGGACCCACACGTGTTCCCCAAAGCCCAGCACCTGTTCCCTTTGCTCAGGATATCACTTTTACCTAGTTACCAGTGGCTGTACAAACTCAGGCAAATACCTTGTGTTCTTCTTTCATCACCTGCTCAATGAGCTCAGATTTCATGGGTGGCTTAGAGTATTGGCCTGAAAGGAGGCCGTGTCCCAGTTTAGCCCTGTAAGGAAGAAAGTGGAGGGGTGGAAACAAATATGTGAGAAAAACAAAATGCTTACTTCAAGCAAAAAAAAATGAAGCTTACTGCTTTTGACTCCTTGATGAACCAGCATTACCATCATTGCAACTAAGTGGTCAAATCTCAATCTCCCTGTGCCATATCTCCCTTCTGAGCTCATGAAAAGGTGTTCTTTTGCTCTGCCATTAAATCATTTAGATTCTATTTAACCTGACCAAGTAAATAACTGAGAAATGTCACTTACATCTGAGTATTGAAATCTTGTGTTGGATCAAGAGGGGAGTAGTCAAATATTCGTGGAAGGTTTCCCACATACCTGGGCAGCAAGAACAAAGCAGAAACAGTCAAATACTGCAGCTTAATGATTCAATCTATCCTCAATTAGTGCTTCTGTAATGCAAAAATAATAGTAAAGAAATAAGGAAATGGACATTGAGGCTTTACTTGAAAGCTTCTAGAATATTGCTATGTTGTTCATCTGGAATTTACATTCTATTCCTGAATCTTGCAAAAGCTGCAGGATGGTGTAGGTCAAAACCACAGAGCTGAGTTAAGAACCAGTGTACTTTTTACTCCCAACCATTATAACCAAGTAAATTCAGGTTTGTATTAGGACAAGAATATGTAAAAAGAACATTTCTATTGAGTTTCACAATTCTGATAACACTGAGGGAAACACTGCTCTAGTCAGCCTGTTGGAAAGTGAAGCACTTAGCAGCACTCTCTGAGCATTGGCTGCCCTTGAGCACAGGAAAAAACAGGCTGGGTAGGTATGGCCGTGGTGCTGGTCCCTCTCTCATCAAAGATCTCCACTATTTTGATGACAGTGAGTCCTCCAGGTAACTCACGGGACCATGCTGTGGAAAATTATCTTCCCTAATAAAGTCCATTTTGATATTTTTCAATAGTGGAGGTAGAAGAGCTGGCACTTAATGAACCCGTAGACTGTACTCCATATGGCTAACAAAGAAAATAAACACAAGTTTTCTCCCTCTTCTTCTCCAGAAGGTAATTTCTAACATGAAAACCTGGGGGGTTTTCCAAAATCTAAAAGCTTCACTTCCAGCACATACACTAGTGCTGCTTTGGAAGGAAAGGGCACTCTGAATTTTATTTCAAACCATGGACTGTCCTTTATAAAAAGGCTTCTCTCCTTGGAATCACGTGTTCAGCTTTGATCAGTTGGGAGTATTTAATATTTTTCTGTTGTGCTTTTGTCCTTTTACTCTCTTAATTATTCAGTGGAGGAATACATTTATACTATTCTTGCCACTACTTTTTTTAAATTTTAATTAAAATGTTCCTCTGTCAGCTTCCCCTCTTAGCTAGACCTACATGCTACAGGTGCAGTGTTTTTCACTAGCATGGATCAATATCAACATGTCTGTGCCAGTTTTTTGGCACAGATCACACAGAATGACTCCTGGCATGGGCCAGTACAAAACCCTTAATGTGATACTGATGATGCCCAGGTAAGCAGAGGTATGTGCATCTGTACATAAAAAGCAGAGACTCAGACATCAAATATCTGAGGTGGAAAATTATTTCCCATCACTGAAGTTGAGACAGTTTGTTTTTAATTTGAAGGCAGCTTGGGTTTTATGTTCCAAACCAAAACAACCACTAAATCCTTTAAGCAGTCACTGGACTGACTGAAAGAGACCTGTTTGCAGGCAAGACAAAAATTAAACCACCATTTTTCTTAGAAAAACAACGAATTGATGAATGCAGCAGCTAGTGACCAGAGGTAGTTTGGAGCTACTTACGCTCGCTGGAACTCTGGGATGCTGAAAATGGCTTGCATGACAGCATTGAGGTAGCAGCTATTCCCCAGGTTCTTCATGCCAGTGTATCCTGGGCCATACATGGGCTTGAGTTTCACACCAGCTTCCTGAATCACTTCCCATTCTGAGACTCTTGGCTTTATGTCATTATCTCTTAGCCCATTGTCTGTCTGAAAGCAACAAGATTTTCATCTTAGTCTCTTTAACTTCTGCCATAAATATGCTGCTGCCAACTTTGTGAGCTATACTCCAAGAAATGAAGAGCCAAATCAATGGGCAAGGGGAGGCAAATCCCGCATGTAGGGGAAGATGAGGGTCACAAAGCCAGCAGTTTGTTCCTCCAATCCACCTTTGCTCTTTAGCACAGCCACTGGCACTGAGTGCTCCCAGTCGTGACCCCAGTCCCAGCTGGGAGCTTCACTTCTCTCAGGCCTGTGACCTCAGCCTCAGCATCAAACACTGCATCTTTTCAGGTTTCCTATTCCGTTTGTAATGGTCAGGAATAGCTGCTGCTGTAGAAGCTGCTGGTAACAAACAAACCACATGAAAAGCAGCAGATCCAAGAGCTCTTCCCCTCTTTCAAATGGTAAAAGCCAATAATTTGTGACACTGAAGTTTCTCCCCTTTACACTCAGCCTTCAGCCTGTAGGTGCAGGTCACCACAGTGTCATTTACTGCTGGCATTGCTCTGTCACTTCTCAAAGAATTGTACAGACCAAAGACCAGAGGTGAAACCTTTGCAACAACTAAGACTAGGTTTTCAAGGCTCCTGAGTAAAACAGTCTTTCCAGAATGATTTGGATAAAAGAAACTTTTTATCCATGGTCCTGGCAAGGACATTAGTATACCAAAATCATTATTAGTATCATGAAGACTTTTGAAAATACAGTTTAACTCTTCTCTATAATTTAAATTAATATAATTTTCTCACCACTTGGACAATGAAATACACTTAACCAGTAGCAGGATTTTTCCTTTTTAACATTTTCATGTTCTCCAGGTAATGATACTAGGTTATATGCTTGGGTTAAAAAAATAAAACCAAAAAACAACAAACCAAACCAAACAAAAAACCAATACAATCACAAAAACCACACCTGCCTTTATAAGCATATCCTATTCTGATTTCCTACACCATTTAAAGAGAACTGGAATCAACACCCACTAAAACACAAGTTATTAAAAGCACTTCTTTACTAATACAGATACACACAGAGAATCCTTTATTCCCCAGTCCCTTTGTAGCCTGTCACACCTTTGACCATGCTGTTTTCTAGACTTGAGAGAATGTATTTTTCTCATTTTCTAATGTATTTATTGACAAAACCTAAACTGAAATTTACATAAATAACTTTCAGCCACTTTTTAACTTATCCATTGCTTAGCTTATTTTTGCTTATGAATCGTTATCTGTTTACACATTCAATAGGCTTTCCTTCACTCTAATTAAATGTTCCAGGCATTTTTCTCTGATTCAATAGCATTTTTCATCTTGAAGTCAAAGGGTGCATCACACAGAAAAAGTGAAAAATGTAAACTAAAGACCAAAAGGTACCTCTTTCAGAAGGCAATTTCTGGATTTGAGAGCAATGATTTACTCAGAACTCTGACAGTAACCCCCAAATTAGCTGGCTGAACTTTACAAAACTGAATACTGTTGTAACAGTCTGAAGGAATCACAAATAAGCTACAGGTGTCATTCTTCTCCTGTTTCTCTCCCATCCCCAAGCGAACAAAGAAGTGAACAACAAGCTAAATAAAAAATGGATTTCCTACCACTTGCATCTGCAGCATATCAATTCCAAAGTGTGCCAAGTGTTTTGCTATATGTGGATCTAAAACCGGCTCCTCTTCATCAAAGGAATAGACATCTGCAGAAGCAGAGAGAAACCAGTGAGCCCCAGTATCAAATGTGATCCCTTCTCCTTGTTTACCAACACTGCATTCTCAGCACGGGGCTGCCCATACAAAAAGCCTTGTTCATATTCCTTGTTCATATTGCATACACACAATGCCTTGTTCATATTCTCCAAGTTTGGTTCTGGCCAAGTGAAGCGCACAGACAAACACATAGCTCAGTAAATATCTTAACACAATCACCTCAAGCACTTTTCCTCAAAAGAAATTATATGCCTCCACAGCATTAGAACCTAAAAGCATTTATAGGGATTATAGCATTTCCTCTCCCCAAAATAAGCAATTTGTAGGGGATGCAAGGAACAGGGCATGCAAAGCCAACCCACATTTTGAACATGACAAGAAGAGATTATGAATTTTTGTAGAGCTACTATTTACAGACAGATCCGTTAAAGCTGTTGAGTGTATCACACCAACTCACTACTGACAATAGTATTTAATTTTTAGTACAGTTTACGAAATCCACTTTTGCCCTTTTCACACAGAGATGCAGGAAGAACAAAGAAATTCTTTATTAGAATAAGGAGGGGTTTTTTTGATTATGCACCACTGGATTGGACTTCCAAGATTAATCTCACTTTGTGGTTAGGGATGGCTGATTTTCTGAGTGAGGTGTCTGGCTTTATTGTATGGGAAATTTAGATTTCAGTTCTCTATGACAGACCTTTATAGCCTTAAGGAAAAGCTGGTAAGACTTGAACAGGCTTTCCATCTTTTCTCTGATCAGGTCTCTACCTCTGTGGTCAATGACTGCTTTGGTGTCTCCTCATACCAAAATCCAGAACCCCTGTGCCAGACTCCCTGCATTTCCCTCAGGCACGTTCCCTCCATGCCCAGCAGCTTCTCACAGTGACCCTGCTCGATAAGAACAGACCTAGGCTGGCAGAAAAAGTTTAGCCAGGAGAAAGGAAGAGAAGCAAACTCAGGAGGAGATAGCAGGAGCACAGTGAAGGCTGTTCACAGCACAAATATCACTTCTGGAAGCTCCTCACCCCGGCCTCTCCTGGCAAGTGCAGACCCTGGCTCTGACTCAGCTCACCCCTTTAACAAAAGGCAATGGTCTTTTTAACCCAAAAGACCTCTCCTTGAGGTCTGTTAGTACCAAACCCCCACTGAAATGATGACTGAAGGTTAGCCAAGAACTCAAACACTAACTTTTAACATTGACCAGCGCTATGGAAAACCTCTCTGAGCAGGGAGCTGTGCTTTGAGCTGTGCTGCCAGCTGCTGACCAGCCAGCAGACGCCCCACTAACATTGGTGCCCGTGACCTTTGTGGCATGTGCGTGGCTGTGGCTGCCCATCTGCTGGAATTCCACTGTGTGGTAGCAAATGCACCCAGAAGACATGACTGTTCATCCACACACATGGCATCACAACGTTCCCATAGCATTCTGCTGAGGTCACAGCACAGCCACAGGATCCCAGAAAGTTCAAACCCCTCATGGAGTGAGATTACACAGCAACAGAGCTTGGGTGATTGCCTGCAGTGTGGAAGCTTTGGATATTGTTTTCCCTCTGCTCTGGCAACTGCAGAGAGCAAATCACCTGGGGCTACTGGCCCAGAGCAGCAGGAGTGGAGCACAAGACTAACATTATGCTCAAGCCCAGCTCATGCCTTACTTCAGTGCTTTCTGCTGTGTAGCTTAAATTCATGGGGAAAAGACAGAATTCAATTGTTTCAAAAATCAAACCCAGGTGTGCAATGCTGTCATACCAGACTCGTAGAGGAGGAATGCAGACAAGTCAGCAAATGTGACACACAAGAACCTGGTGTCATTAGAGCAAGAAAGAGGAAAAAGGGAGGAGTGGAAGAGGGGAAAAAACCCACCAAGATAAATCTGAGACAGGCAACACAGAATATTAAACAGAGAAAAAGTCACAGAATATGCTGAGTTGGAAGGACCCATCAGTATCATCCAGTCCAACTTCTGACCCTGTGCAGGATGCACAAAGAATCCCACCACAGACCTGAGAGTGATGTCCAAAAACATCTTGAACTCAGGCTTGGTGCTGTAACCAGTTCCTTGGGGAGATTTTTCCAGTACCCAACCATCCCCAGGGTCGAAAACTTTTTCCTGATAATAGTATTTTCCTGATAATAGTCTTTATGATTCTTATTATTTTAAGAAAATAAAAATGTCAGTGCTACTTGACTTCATTCTCTTCCACAGCTCAACACGTCTGACTGTTCAGACATCTCTCCTTCCTATTTAGATGGTAACAGGCAATGGTAACAGTGTCCCTAAAGAAAGAAGTGGCTCAGGATACCCCCAAAAGTATCTGACAACTGCTAAGATCAGCATCCACAAAGCAGCTCCTTCAAGCACCAATCACAAGGGGTTTGCCACTGCCAGTGCCCAATTCCATGCTCCAATCCATTCCAAACAAGCAACCTCACAGTGACTGGAAATAAAATCCAGTGGCACTGTCAGAGAGGCAGCAGGCAGCACAGCCTGCCCCGTGCTCAGCCTACTGAGCAAAACAACATTTATGACTCCCTGGTGTGTCCTGTCCAAGGTACAAGAGTGGGGGAGAAGCTTGGTTCAGTGTCTGCCCTGATCCCAGATGTGTCTGCTGACAGAGTGCGACAAAATGGGGCTAACCTCAGGAACCTTTCACAGTGTACACAGCACAGATTTCTCAGGGTAAAACAAAGAGCTCTCCTCTGTGTACACATGGGGTGAGTGTCAGTGCAACAGTGGCACCACCTCCTTCTCCTTCCTACTGCTGTGAAAAAGGAATAAATTATGTCAGGACAGGGACCAGTGCTTATTACTCCTGTACCATCACCCCTTCACCTTTAACCCAGGGAAGCAAAAACAGACAGATTTTGTGTCACCATCAGCCACAGATGAGCTTTCCTGAAGCTCATCCATCACCCAGCCCCATTGAGGGGTTATGAGTACTACAGAAATATAGATCAGAGACAGAATAATTACTGAGAAGGAACAAGGAAGGTTGGGGGAGGGAAGACTTTTCTATAGGGAAACCAAGTAAACATCATCCAGAAGAACAAAGGTCTGTGGAGAACAGCTGGTGCTTCTCATTCAGAGGGAAGGATGACAGCCTGTCCTTTGTTATCCCAAAGGCCACATAAGAGAGGAAGCAGCTGATCAGTGGGAGGCACAAGGACAGAAGCCATAAGGAAAAAACTATCGCTGCTAAAGATGGGAAAGAAAAGAAAAAATTCTGAAAAAAACCCACTACAGAATATCCTGTTTGTTTTGTAGATGCAGTTGAAAGCTACAGCTGGGCAAATCCTAAACACCTTCAATAACTGAGAGATTTGGAGAGAAATCATCCAAGGCCAGGCTCATGCAAGGAAATAAGATTCCATCTGGGAAAGAAAAAAAAATGGTTTTTGCTTAGTGTTTTTGTGGCACAGCTGGTTGAATCTGACTACAGTTGCCTTTCCTCAACACTGAATAGGAGTTAGAAAAGCTCTTAACTGATGCTTGTTAAAAAAACAGGCTGCTCTAAACAGCAATTTTTCATCTCTGTAAGCACTAAAGCCAAAATATAATCATGCTATGTGTTCTCCATGCACCTGCAACAAAAGATCTCTTTGCTTATGACTCTTTCAGCTCCTCATGTTTTTATTCCATCTAATCCTCACACACCATAATCCCCTCTGCAGAAACACTGCAGAACATCACACTTGGAGAATATGCAAACAAGATACAAATACAGTTTTTTCCCCTCCCAAGATCATCACACATTTTCCAAACGAGCCTCACAGCAGCCCCATGAAGATGAGTGTTCATTAGACTGTTTCAGCAACATTTTGTTCAACAAGGAAAAAGAGGAGTTTCCACTATGATTAAAAAACCCATACATGCTGTTACAAGCAGACTTCTAAATTTAAAAAGCTCATTACCCTGCTGTTGTTTCTTTGTTACAAAAAAAATGAACCATTTGTCCTAGGAAGTGTAGCAGAACTAACAAATATTGTTTCTCCAGAGTCTGTTGTTTCAGACTAACACTATTTTTATGTAATTAGCCTAGTATTATGCAAATACTCCAAAAATATTTATAGAAAATATAAAATGAGCAGATAAAACAGGTATGGGCTTTCTCAGAATGGAGTGTGTGTCACTCCCCTCAACCCTGATCAACATTCACAGACTCAGAGTTTCCTTCCATATTGCAAATCAATGGTGACTCCGACATTGGTGAGGGAGAGAGAATGATGCATTTGATTCCATGAATATCAGAAGGCTAATTAATTACTTTATTATACTATATTATTCTATACATTTAAAACTGAATATGCCAAGCACTCAACCCTGCACAGACCTCACAGAATCTCGTGATTGTCACCCAACAGTCCCAACTCACACACACACACACACACACACACACACACACACTCTCTTGGCCCTGATAGGCCAAGGAAACAAAACACCATCACTTTGGGTAAACAATCTCCATACTGCATTCTGCTTTTGCACAAACACAGGCACAGCAAATGACAAGAATTGTGTTTTCTTTCTCTGAGGTTCAGAGAATGTGAATCCCAGAAATATTCTTAGGAAGATGTGCTACACTTCCACACTCCAACACTTGCACTAGAAGCACAAACCCAGCTGGTAACAGACACACACAGTCAGCCTCACGCACGGGAGGTACCTCACGTCAGAACAAGCCCCGTGCTGACCTGCTCCATCAGGAGTGATGGTGCCCAGCTTCACTGCCAGGGGATAGCCCGTGTCCCTGTAGTGCTCCACGGCGTGCCCGTTGCCCCCGCTGCCATCGAAGAACCACTTCCCGCAGAGCACGGAGCCGTCGCTCAGGTTCAGCCACAGGTTCTCCCGCAGGTCACACCTGGAGCACTTCCAACCGCTGCCACACACAACAGGGAGAAACAGCAGCAGTCTGTAAGGCAGCAGCCAGCTCTGTATCTCCCATGATGGCAGGTCAAAGCACCCACACACCCAGCCCAGCCCAGAGTCACGCAAGGGAACCGTGGGCTGAGTTCCTGCCTTTAGTTCAGCTAACCCGGACTGAATTAGAGAGCCTACAGTGAACAAACCTTGTTGCCCTCACCTGGGGGGAATTCTAACACCATTGTCTAACTGTACAAGTGTTTTAGCATGTTTAGATGCCTGCAGCTCTTCTTCCCAGGAGTCAGGTTCCTGCTTCCTGTAGGGTGATTTTGCACTGAGCAGTGCATCACAAGCTATCGTCACCTGGAAGACAAATGGATGTCAGTCAAAGCCTGACACGACTCAGTGACTGGACAGAACCTGGCATTCAGCCTATTGCTAACCACATACAGAACTGCTTATCAGTAGGACTATTTATATACTCAAATATGCATCTAATCTTTTAGACTGTCGTCATTATTTTAGCAGCAGAGTAAGCATGTGTGCTATGTGAGCTTCCCTGGGACAAGCTGGCACCATAATAAGGGAAGAAATATAGGAGATAGAAGAAACAAATGTAAAGATCACTTTTTTAATGACTGAGACTCTATTATAGCTGGTAAACAATAATCTTTATGTCCAAACAAGCAGTGCACATAAGAAAACAAGGCACCATATGGACAAAACCAGAAACAGGAGACAATTTCAATGACCACTTCCACACACCCACTGACCAGTGCTGGTAGCTCTTCTATGTTGGGTAATGAGATTTCATAGTGATCAGGAAAGATAACAAGTTTTGCTTCATCCTCATATTCAAAGTCATCACTGTTGAGATCACTGCTTATCTCCAGATCTGGAAAACAAGATGGGCAATGTTAGGAGATTATCCCATGATCCAGGTTCCAAAACTGTGGCAGGGGTACCACCATAAACATTGCTTGCCTGTCATCAACCAGTAGTTTCTCTAGCTAGAAATATTTGTGAAAGCCTGATCTAAACTGAAATCTCACCATCCTTCAAGAGAATGTTCTGAGGACCAAAATCTCCACTTAATGCCATCCCCAATCACAGATACAGTTGGTTTGGCCTCTCTGCAAGCAATGCACTGTTGCAGACATTGCATTCTGCAAAGCAGCAAACAAAATTCTGCTCCTTTTGGACAAAATCAGGGTGCCATACTGCTGTGCCTTTTACCCAGAATCTTGAAATGCTATAAAGCATGGAGACCAGGTCACACTGCACATGCCCAAATTGCAGAGGACAAATAAAAAGAGCACCCCATATTTTCCAGATCACAGACCCATCTGAAACGTGCTGTGGCTCCCATCCATCTTGGACCTGTGGCCTTTCCTCCCAGAAAGATGTCCATGGCTGGAAGTATTCCTGTGTCTCATCCACAGTCTCAAATAGCGACAGCATGTACAGTAACACCAACAATATCCCTCTCTTGCTAACTCCACTCCTTAATCAGGGTAACTATCTGTTTAAAAAGCACTCATTAGCTACTAAAGCTTTCCTTTGAAGATCAAGCCTTCCACTGTGCTTGTGTACATTTTCCTTCTAGTGTAAGAATGACTTCTTTTCTTAAACATGAGCCTCGACCAAGCAACATCAGCTAAAATGTTTGTCCAGAAATATGTGGACCCATAGAAAAGCAGGACGGTACATTGGGAATTAAATGGCTAGTGTTTGTGTCTCTAGCTGCATGAAAAAATATAATAATTAATTAATTATCACATAGTGACAAGACTGAGTAAAACCTTGTTCTGTTCTTCCTAGGACAAATGAAAAATGGAAAACCAAACATGCATGTGTCAGAAATTTTGCAGGATTCAACTGCAAGAATTGCCCAGGCAACAATGGGATTTTCTGGATCCTTCTGCCACTGGACATGTGGGACCCACTGTATTCTGATGTACCAGTCACTGACAGAATAAGGCTCAACCAAAAAAAGAGATGTGTGAGCAGTAGCCAAAGCTGGCTCTTAATTCCCCCTCTAGTACAAGCAGATGCTTAATGAGTCACTCGATCCTAAACGAGCATTGGCAGCAACCACTGCACCCTGGGAATGCCTGAAATCTCAAATGTATGTTTGGGACAGAGGTGAGGATGACAGAAGCCAGATTCAGAAAACTGAGCTCCCAGAGAGCAGTAACAGACTGAGCAACCCAAATGATAAAACAAGTATCAAAATATATTTTAGCTTGACCTGGAAAGAACAGCTCTTGAGAGGAACATCAACTCTTGGCTCATCTGCTGCACCAGCAGTCCTGAGGTGACAGCACCCACTGTCAGTGACTTCCAGCACCATGAACTCCCTCTCACCAGCAACCAAAAAAAGGCCCCTTCTCATCAGCTCAACACAGACACAAAAACAAGAACATTGTCTCATACTGAAAGCATGACAATTTTAGCTAACATATTCATTCATTACTAATTCCCAAATCACACCATTTTCGTAATGATCCCTCACTTTACTCTAGGCTTCATTCTCAGTTTGTATTACAGCTTGATACAAGAGTGAATCTCCTCAGCTGCAGTTTTTAACAGCTCAGTGGAAACAAGGAAAGTGAGGATCTCCAAACTGATGGTGCATACAGCAATGCATCTCAGAGGATTTTTACTTAATGCCAGAAATGTGATGGTGGCCAGCACAAGAAAGCCAAAAGTACTGACCACCACCTAAACAGGAGAGAGGTTCCTCAGAGAGGATTAAAGCTCAGGTTTGGAGGCAGTGAACTGTGGTCACACAGTGCCTCAGCCACCAGAGGGAACCTGGCACCAGCTCACAGCGGCCAGCGGGCTCTGGGGACTGTGTGACACCCACTGATCTTCGCTGCCTTGTGCTCTGGACATGAACTTAAAGCACCTGCAAGCCCCTTATAGAAACAGCAATGATATGGTTGCCTATGTTCAAAATTCAGACACACACTGCAGCTCATCTGCCCAGCCAGACAGCAGCCAAACTGCAGAGACTCAGTGCTGCTGGCCTGACCTGCATCTGAACCAGTGATCCAGGCATGAAAGACAGAGGATCCTATTAGCAATCATCTGCAGTCATCTAAGGACTTGACATGCTTAGCAGCACCAGCCTCCTGTGGCAATGGGCAGGGAAGAGAGTTTCCTTGGCCTTCCTTCATGCCATTCATACCAGCAGAAAAGCAGAAAACAGTGTCCCATCAGCATGGGACTCTTTCTGCCTGACATGCTGATATGGTAGCACCCACTTGTTATTTTAAAGGATGCACAAAGCTTCATAACAGTCCTGGGAAACATCATGAGGATTTAAAATTCCCCTTTTGAAGGTGACCACCTAAAACTGAGACACTTCCACCCAACACCTAGGCCCTCTGACTAGGAATTAGAAGGCATTGCCTTATCACCCTGGAGACAGTTTCGAGTCCAGATCCAGTACACAAGAGTGGAGTGGACTTCTGAGGTCACAGGTTGAAATCTGTCCATAAAGAGCAAGTGACCATATAAACTAATCCCTTTTAGGGACACTCAGAGGGACCCCTTTATGATGTCACCTGAAAACACCAGATCACCACTCATATATTTAAATCTTGGCTTGAGAGACATAGCTGTTAAGTTTGGTAAGAAATTGTACCTGCATTATATTTTCTGTGTCTGTGCAAGGGCCAGCAAGGCTAAGAAAGCATGAGGGCAGAAACAAAAAAAAAGCAGATGACTGTGACTTTAGAAGGCAATGGAGCCCACACTAAATGTGGACAGAATTTGACCCTGAAGCCACTGGGCATCATGTGCAGTCTGCAGGTAGTTTCTAGTGCAGAATTTTAGGGAGGACTAGGAGTAAGTACAGGAAAGAGGAGTAGGGTGAAATCTACTTGCAAAAGGAATATATTTTATTAAAAATTACCACTAAAGACACTGAAAAGCATGAACTTTCAAGCACTATACTTCATCCAAAGTTGTTTCTTGATCAAGGATGATCTTCCAAGATGCATGGTGAGTAGAAGGCAAATAAAAGGACTTTACTCAGTTCTGAGACTGAGTCACAAGACAACCAGCCAGTCTGTAATCCTTCCAAGGAGTGACAGCTTGATGGTCAATGCCTACAGGACATTGTTTCCCTTTCAGAGGAGTAACACCTTTCTGGTGCCTGCTGAGAGCCTCAGCTCAGCTCTTTGGCCACCAAAACCAAACATCCACAGGTTGTGAGTGCTGTGTTGGGAGGGCAGGCAAAGCAAAGCAGCAGACACAGGCTTAACTGGCGCTGACATTTTGGGTGAGTGGTCAGTAGAGTAAATTTACTGCACCTCACAAGGCATCACTGAGCGACGGTGAGAATGTGCTGCTGCTGAAGTGACTGAAAACAGCAGCTGGGAGAGACACTACTGTAATGTAAACCAACCCAGCAGAGGGGAAGAGGAGGAGTGGATGTGTCCAGATCAGATTTAGACAAGTTACCAACTGACTGCACTAATAATAGGGGCATAAAAGACTCCAGACAGGACCCCCAAAGAGGATTTCCTGCGCATGTGGATGTGTCTGTGTGTGTGTGAAAGGGAATGCAAACGTGAAAACTGAATGAGGGTGTTGACTAGCAAGTCTACAACTAATTTTGAAACCCTAGAAAGACATCTTAGGAATCTGGGCTAGATCCTGCTCTTGCTGAAAGCAATGGACAAATTCGTATTGACTTGGGAAACCTGGGTCTTTAAATCAAATTATTTCTTCCTGCCTCTAAATAATAGCGAATTGCAACAGCAGCACTTTGCAAACTATAAGCTACTCAGTTAATTTGTTTTCAGGCATTTGTTGTTTTACTTAGTTATTTTTTTTAATATTAGCTTCATCAGATGTATTATAAAACAAAAGAATTTTTTTTTCCAGTCATAACATTTTCCTTTGCAGAAAAATGAAAAGTAAAACTTTCTACAAGGATCATTTGGCTGATTCACTACTTGTAAAGAACATTCAAATTGCTTGCAACATCTCCAAAGCTTTTTTATATTGTTCCTATTGCTAGGTAAGACCTCATCCCTTGCATTTCTAGGATAGTCATATGTTAAGCAAGCAAAATTAAACCATAAAAATTCAAATTCAGAACTGTTTTTGATAGCAGCACTAGCCCATGTTAATCTAGTCTAATCTTCACAGTTCTACCCAAACCAGCAAGCTATTAAGAATCTGTTAGTGTAAGTATCTGCTCACCATCCTGTACTCAATTCAAGCATACATGGCAAAGCAAAAAAGCAACAACCAATCAGTACTGCTGCTGCTGCAGGGGAATATGCACTATTTTACTGGGCTAAATTGCAGAAATATTGTCAGGAAGTGCTTAAGTTCCCCGACATCCCAAGTTTTCATTCACAGATACAGATATTCTATTTCTGCTTACTCACATAAATATAAACTTTAACCACTCATGGTAAAAGCCCTCTTCAGAAGCTCTCCAAACAAAAACATCCTTACTGCAAACAGGATTCTGCTCCCAGGAGAGACAAAGTGAAGCTGTGGTCAAATCCAGTACAGCCACTCTTAAGAGTGGTCTTTACACTTGGAAACAGTAGCCATGAGTCCATCCTCTGCCATCAGCAGGGAGGTGCCATCCAGGAAAAGCTCAGCAAGTTCACAAGTTCTCCCAGACTCTCCAAGTGGAAGTTTTCCTTTCCGAGGTGTCCTGAGACCCGCTGAGTGTCACAGATACTCTCCCCAGCAGTAATCACAGATCTGCTGACAGAGCTGTTCATCTGAGGACTTCAAAACACTTTTAATGGATGGTCTGAGTTAGTCCTGACTTTGCTCAAAACAGAGCTGCCACAGCTTGCTGCAGTGGCAGATGATGCTCTGGTAACCAATCTGAGACAGGACATCTGTCTAGGAACAAGTTTTATGGCAGTCACTCTGCCAGGTCTGTATAGTCAGGAGTCCAGGCTCTGGCATGGACCAACAGATGCTCAGGAGGAGGGAATGAGAATCAGGCAAAAATGGGGTGATTCCTCCCTCAATGCAGAGTTCAAATATCTGCCTGAGATGTTTTGTTTGCTGGGGGGAGGGGGAATGGTGTTTGCTGGTTGGTTTTGGAGAAGGAAATAGGGAGAGATACTGTGTGTGGATGCAGTTTTGCTACTCAAAAGAGAGGTTTGATTTATATTTATAAAGCAAAATGATAGAGAACAAAATATAAAGTGTTGCTTTACTTGTGTTCCACTTAAATCTCCCACTGCTGCTGACAACTGAGCTGACATTTCAGAGAACCATTCACCCCATCTCTCTCTCTCAGAACCACCTCTCTGAGCAGCAACAGCAACTGGGACCACATCCCTGTGCACATACACTCCAAGCACCTCTCTTGTACTCTTTGCACCTTTCAACTGCTTCATCTATTGTTTAGTTAATCAGTAACATCTTAAAAATCACTTTTAATTTTAACTCTCGGTAATTTTAAATCAACCAGCCAACTCAGTTTCTCCAGTTTTCAATCCCTTTCCAGACTATTTACATTGCATTAATTCTTCATAACTAGAACATTCTGAGAGACTCTGCTGGTAACTCCTGGGATAATATAATAGAGGGGGACTCTACTGGTAATTATGGTAAAAATTAGACCTCCAATCCCTTCAGCACAAGAATCTTCCCCCTAATTCTGCTACCCCTTTTGATCAGAAGCTCATAAGGATGATCACAGTACACCCCATTAACCGAGTTTTTCTTATTCACACAAAAGGCACTGAGATAGACAGTCTGCTTTAAATATCACCCCAAATTCCCTGAAACATTGCACAGCCTGAGCTGAAGTTGTCATGTCCACACTGTCTAGCAACACCTAAACCAGCCAGATTAAAGGCAGTTCATACATTTCAACAAACAATGCTGTTATGCTTCCTGATTACACAGAATACTCACAGCCAACACCCTCCAGCCTTCTCCAAAGAAAACCAAACCAAAACATGCCCAGAACCTGATGCACATGTGCAAGGCACAGACACTTTGCTGTGAATCTTTCCATGTTTAGGGAAAGATAAATATTGCAGCTGACTGACCCAAGCAGCCTGTGTTTCTATTGCATTTACTAGATAGCAGCAGTGCTAGAAAGTAATCAGTGAGCATCCAAAAGATGTTTTCCTAATACTAAGGAGATTGAAAAGGGTTTAGTATCTTTAATAGTTTTACATCAAAGAGGATTATAACAAGCAATGTAACAAATGCCCAAACTGGATTGACTTTGTACACAAAGCTTAAAGCTCTGGGCCTTGAGGGAATTATTGATAGATATGTAGGAACAGAGGGATGCTGGAGCTAGGCACTGATCCTTGTCTGGTTTTGTGTGCCAGGGCAAGCCCTACCTAGCAGGTCACATACCTGGTGTGATAAATACAGCCAGGATAAATTCACTATGGGCCAGCAATGTGCCCTTGTGTGCTCTAAGAAGGCCAGAGGTATGCTGGGGGCATTAAGGACAGTGGCCAGCAGATCAAAGGGAGATCATCCTCCTCCTCTGCTCTGCCCTGGTGGGGCTGCACCTGGAGTATTCCATCAGTTCTGGGCTCCCCAGCCCAAGGAAGACAGGGAATGCAGAGGGTCCAGTGGGGGGCTGCAAAGATAATTAGGGGACTGAAGCATCTCTCTAAAGGGGACAAGCTGGGCCTGTTCAGCCTGGAAAAGAGACTGAGAGGGGATCTTATCAGGGCACAGAACATCTTCAGGGCAGCTGTCAAGAAGATGGAGCCGGATTCTCTCCAGCAGTGCCCAGTGACAGGACAAGCCACTGAAATATGGGAAGGTACATCTAAATATGAAGAAAATCCTCCTTACTTTGAGGGTGACAGAGCACTGGAACAGACTGCCAGGAGAGCTCATGGGGTGTCCTTCTCTGGAGATATTAAAATATGCCTGGTGAGGATTGTGTGCAGCCTGTTCTACATGAACCTGCTCCAGCAGGGGATTGGACTTGATGATCTCCAGAAGTCCCTTCCAACCCCAACCATTCTGTGACAGTGCCCAAGGTCATAATGAGAAAGACAGAATTAAAACAACCTGTTTAGATCAGATCAGCAGTTCTGAACCAATGAAAAATATGTTGGATTAAGAGATAAGACACCAAATTTTGCTAACCACCTCTGCTGCTGTCACATGTGAAATTATCAAATCAGCTACCTCTCTGTGCTTTTGTTTCCCCAGCTGTGAACAAGGACAGGAATATTTCTTTGTTCTTTGCTTTAAGCATGGCCAAAACCAGCAACATCTGCTGATCCAAAGAAGTGGCCACCATGCCTTTGGAAGCATGGAAGTACTGTCTCCAGGAACAGAGCAGACCTGACACCAGTTCACTCCCAGCCAGCAGGGGCTGCAATGAAGGCTGCAGTGAACAATAGACCAGATGAGACACATTTTCAAAAGTGCATTTGATTCCAGAAGTGCTGGATGAAATGGTGATAGATCCATGTCCTAAACCCACCCCAGTGAAACTGCACTGCCCTCAGGAGGTCCCTTGGAACTGCTGCTCAGGACCTGCTCAGAGGGAACAAAATGCTCATGCACAAGGGTGGAATTTGAGGATTTCAACGTGGCACATCAGAGACCCTCTGCTGGTACCCTTTGTGCTGGCACACCTCAGTGACAGGAACTTTCAGGTGTATGCAGAAGATCAGCAAGAACGAAATTTCAATGTGCTTTTGTACTTTGTATTTACACTCACATTGCTACCACTGTGCAACCACTGCTGCACTGCAGCCAGCTTTGTTCCTGAACCAATTATTCTATAAGCATCCAGTGAAAATCATGATTTTCAAAGTAAACTGGCAGTAAATGGCATTTAGAGCAGCATCTGTGATGTAATAGTCTCTTCCTACAAGTTTAACTTTTTTATTACACATTTTCAGTCTTTTTTCTATCTCAGCCCTCCTTGCAAGACTTACTTACATTAACAACAACAATTTAATCAATCACAATCTGAAAAGACCTCTTAGGGACACGTTTCACAGATCAAAGCAATTCCAGCAGAAGGTCACTCTATTGTTTCTCTTTAGCCATAAGAGCTGGCAACTGTAAAGAAAACATTTCACCTTTTCGTTACCTGAAGAAAAATTCACTATTAATACAGAGACAATAAATAATAGATGAATTGGAGAAACACCACAAGCTGTGGGAGAAGAGAGAATCCAGGCTTTTCATCACATTCTCCTCATCCATATTTATGAGTCCCTCAGGTTTTCTGGGTAATCTGAATAAATGGATTTTGGATGATACGGGCATGGTAAGAAAACTGCTTTCCATGAAGCAAGGGAATAGAACTGTGGACATAACAGAATTAGAGATGCTCATGGTGTATGTGCAGTTGTATTCAGTACAGGAGAGACCACAACATCACTGAAGAACATTTACCTGTGTAACAACTTTAAAATGGTAACAACTCTTCCTATGACCAGCTGCTGAGCAGAACAGAGCCACAATGAGGCCCTAATAAATCTAAATATTACGTATGGGCCAACATTCTAATAAAAGAGTGCTTTGTGGAAATTCCAGAGAGAGAAAATGGACAGAATTAGCTAAAAAGTGCCTTTCAAAGCCTAGGCTGTTTCAGAGTAGCCAAGGATCTATTTTATATTAAAATGTTTCATGTATATATAAACACATCTTTCAGTATGCACCAAAATGGTTAAGAATCATTTATTTGCCTGGAAAACATTTAAAATCTAGAACCAGAAGTTAAAAAGAAAACCAAAACAAACAGCAGGAAATGAAAACCCAAAAGGAGCCCCAGAGCCAGACACAATGGTGGGCAGAACCCAAGTCCACACGCAGACAGGGTCAGAAAAGGACTGTGTGAAAGCAGCTGCTCACAATACCTAAAAATAGCTTAGCGTTCCTCCTTTTTGGTAAAGCTCCACCAGATGCTCCCGGTACCTTCTGGAAAGAGAGAAAGAAACAATTAAAAATCCATCAATGAGACAAGAGTAAATCTGCATCAACCCCTCCCATCAAGCCCCAGCCCTTGGTGAGCAGGGCTGTAAATGCTCTTTGCTCTCCTCTGACTCTGGCACTCATCAGTGCCCAGGACACCCATGGAGAGAGGGAGCCTCCACCTGAGTCCTTCACTCTTGGCTTGCTGGCATTGATCAGAAGGTGTCCCACAGCCACCAGGGGTGGCAGCTCTTCTGTCACCAAGGCAGAGACACCCAGCACCTCTCAAACCTCTCTCTAGATCCCCAACAGTATTTTTTAATGACTAAATCTCAGTTAGAGAGAAGAAAAGGCGATTATCTGCATAAAGGATTCAATCCTTCACAACTGATTCAAGTAGGACCACTTTGCTTTCATCTGTTATTTAGGTTCATTTTCTTCTATCCAGAAAAAAATGCCTTTTCCATCAGGATCTACACCTGCTTCCATTAATCCAAATTACCACCATGTTTTCTAAATATTAGAAAGTATGGAGGAAATTCGACAACACTCAAGCAATTGCTTACTGGGAGACTTGACTGTATTTTTTAATTTAAGCACCATTGCAGAAAACAGTAACTTCCAGATGAGTTTATGTTTCATTACTTTTCCAGTTCAGAAAACCTCAGACTACAAGGGAAAACACAACTAACTGAGGAAATGTCAAACTCAGGGCTCTCACTCCTTAAGCTGTTTATTAAACAGCACCATTAAATCAAATTAAATCAAAAAAGCCTCTGTGGCTACTTGGTGCCAACACGATGCATGATGTAGTGTGCAATGTTAGTGTAACTGGCAAGGTTGTTAGGCAACTTTTTTTTTTTTTTTTGTTAATATTAATATTGGGATACAACAGGTGGAGAGAAAGCAGCCAAGAACCTGTCAGCCCACAGGGAAAGTTCATGCTTGCCTGGGCCCCTTCACAGGCAAAAGGGTCACATATTTTGGGTGGTTCCCTTCACCATGTAAACTAAAGCTTTGGCCTCAGCAAACTGCTTTAATCATCAGTGGGGTCTTATACATCATAGGAAAAATTTCCATTCTTAGAAAGAGCAGATGCTGACAAACACCCCTTGGCTGCATTTAAGAACAGAATCCATTATCCACATAGAAAAGCCCTAGGGAAAAGTCAGGGTTGCAACTCCAGCAGTTCAAATAAAAATAAAAATTCCTCAATGAACTGAAAAAAGCATGCAGAATATTTCTTTCTTTAATGCTACTGGAATTTAACAAGTGGGAAGGAAATAGCCAGGAATCTATTTTAAATGTATTTTAAATCTCTTTTTAAAAGCAGTAGCAAGAAACAACATAACCCAATTGCAAATACATTATGAATAAATTACACATTCTCCAAGGACTATACTTCCAGAACTAAAAAAGATGTTTTTTCCTATACTAGGAAACTCCAGTTGAATTCTGACGTCACCAAGTGTGATATTGTGAAAGTTATGAAGACTAGAGATTGCAAAGAGAAAGAATTCACATGGAGTGCTTATATTTAACTCAGGCTGACAATGATTTCAGCTTGATTTTTCCAAATAAAAATACATCAGAATCAAAGCTTCTCAATACTCATGAAACACCCACAACCTGACAGTCTTTTTCTTACCTTGTCAGAAATCACTGAAAACATTCTCCATTCACAAACCCTTTTTTTTTTCCTAACAGAAGTGACACACCCAACAAATGGGAGTGACATGAGGCATCAGCAGTGACACTAAATTCCATTTGTGATGCTCCTTGGACAAGGTGACAGTGCAGCCTGTTCTGCTGTCTCTCACTTTTTGTAACACCATCATCCCTGGATAGCATCCAGAAACCTCTCCCTGCAGGAAATCTTTGTGCTTCTCTGCCCAGGGTTTTCAACAGGGCTGAGGTATCACTACAGCACCAAGCTGAAGCTCTGCCTGGAAATGAACAGCAGCCAGGCAGTTGTATAAAGTCATGCACTACAAAGAGGCTGATTTAAAAATCCTGATGAATGTAATACTGTGGAAAAGGAAAAATAAAAATAAATTCCCTTTATTCAGCTAAGAATTTTACCAGGGGTGCTCCATAACTTGTGCCCATCTCTGATGATTCAGCAGAGGCCTCTGGTGCTGAGCTGCCATAGGCAGATGCTCCAGCTCCACTTAAGCCAGCAGGCTGAAGCTGTGACCCTTATTTTCTAATTGAATTGTGACAAGATACACAAATGACATTTATTCCAAACATCTTGGGAAGCAACCTGGGATTTCTGCAGCAATGCAGTGCATTCTGCAAGGATGATGCCAAGGGAACCACAGGCAGGAATAGCAGCCTCACTATAAGAATCTTAAGATAGCACATCCAATGCCTTTGGCTTTACTGTATCCTACACCATTAAAAGCTTGGCTTCCAAAACAAAAACCACAATGTAGCATGTGCCAGACACTTCATAAAACACTTGATGTTTCACATTGCTCAAAGGAAAACATGGATGGCACTTAAGAAGCAAATTGTCATGGCAAAAAAAAAGAAATCCACAGCTAATATATGAGGAATCCTGGCTATGAGCCCTATTAGATGATGCAATATTCACCTGCACTGTGTAGCCAAACCCTGTTTCCTGCCACATGACCCAGAGAACCAGTGTGTTGCCACCTTCCAGCACAGAGCCAGCCCCTCTGCTACATCATGATTCACCCAGAGAAAAACAGGAACCACTGAACTTCTTCAATCAAAGGGATTTGCAACACCAAACAACAGTTGGGATATTTGTTTCTCCATTTTGGGGTTCTTCAGCCTAATCTTTACCAGGAAAGGAATTTTTGAGTTCTTATTTTAACCCCAGTTTACCTGAACTTATGGAAGAAAGTTATATACAAGGAAAGCTGACAGGATTTCTGCCCACCTGTCTCTAGATAGCATCTTTCAGGAGTGTTAAATTCAGTCAGAAGAACCACTGCTAAAACCAGAGTAGGCTCTGCAAAAACTCAGTTAGCAGAGTGAAGGAAAATGTTGGCATTGCCCTTAGAAGGAAAGGCAATTCTAAAGTATAACAAACATCATTTACCATCTCATCCTGGAAGATATGCAATCCATCTCACTGTAATTCTGATAAAATATGAACATTCCTCTCCTGGCAATAAGGTAAGTGGTCAGGGCACTTTATATAACTCAAGGCCTTCATCACCCAGGGGAAGCATTGCTGGAGAGTGAGAAACAAGGATTCTAACCCACTCCAAGCAGCTCTTTTAAGCCCTCCAACTTGCCAACAGAGACAGAGCTTATGAGAGAGTGAGCTATAAGCAAACCCAGTGCCTTCCTTATAGCTCAGGTCAGAAGTAATAAAGAATTTTTAAAGATGCCAGACAAACCACACACAAGCAGAGGTTATACAGCACAGGCTATAAATGACTGCTGATATGCAGTGATGGTATGGAAGAGCAGTGAACATGAGGCTGTATGTGCACACCCATGTGTAGGGAAAGGCTAAATGAGGGCCAGTGTGTGTCTCTAGAATCCAGCATTCATTTAAGCTAAGCTTAAGATCCCAGACCAGGTCAAAGTTTAACTGTACAGGAACTTAGTATAAAAAGGAGTCCTTTCACCCTGAGATGAAACCTCATATGAAAAATAGAAATCAGCAGCTTCCAGCCAAATCGGAGCCAAACCCAGTAATTCAATTATTACAGTAATTGTACACTTGAAAGGCAGATTTCAGAAAATATTTAGCTATGTAAAATGTGCACATAACATGCAGACAATATGTACGTGATATACAGAAATTAGAAGTGAAAAACATCAGTGGAAGTCAGGAAGGAATTGCCTTTAAGGTCTGACTCTTTAGGGCTTTTGATTCATCTCAGAACTGAAGCTGTAGGATTGGTTGGGATCCAAGCCCCTGGATTGGATATCCAGCCCCAAATGTGAACGTGTGCATTTCAGTCACCCAGGACTTGGTGTGTGTCTGAAATGCATTACCCAGACGAGCACAAGAGCCAGGAGCAGAGCTGGGGTGGCTCCTGGGAAGGCACAGGTCTCACCTGTCTCAGGTGCCGTTTCAGGTGCAGGTACACACACTGTCCCGTTTTCCGGTAATGCCGCTCGATGTGCTCCCTTCCAAATCCCAGAAACGTGTTCATGCACACGTAGAGACCTCCTTCCGAATCCTGCAAGGAATGGCACGAACACTTACAGCAGGGAAGGACCCAGCACACAGAAAAAACCCCCAAGAATTGCAAACCCTTTCAGATATCAGGCAAACACGTTAAACATGGCTTTCATAGCATATTATGGTGTTTACACCATCAGTCCCCTAAGAAACTTCCCCATCACATCACATATCATAACACATATCCCACAGCCTATAGAAACTTTTGAAATTAGTTACTTTGCAACTACAGATTAGTGAGTGTCCAAATTGGAACTCTAGAAGTTAGTCTTGAAAAATTCCACTTGAGTGCTCAACCCACAGAGGTTCATAGGCACAGAAATTTGTAAAGCATAGAAATAAGCATAAGCATTTCTTTGAAATAGCAGAATTTCTTGTTGGCATTTGATTGCAAGAACATCATTCCAAACCTGAAGCACAGCAGAGTTGATGGTCCAGGGACTCTGCCACAACTTCTTCAATTGATCACAATTTTGTCTGAGAAAAAAGATCTCAAGCAACCTCACAGCCCTTAAAACTGGCTAACAGAAACTTGACAAATGTTTTGTGTGCATTCTTCAGTATTGATCAGGGAACCTCTCCATTCATGCAATACAGAGCTTGGAGACAAGGGCATTACAAAGGGAATATGAAGATATATACTCCAGGTGCTGATCACAAATGCTGACATTTCAGTAATGTAAGCTGGCATCACTTTTTGCTCTCCCTAAAACTAATGCTGGCTGTTACCAGAGTCTTGCTCAATTTTACCACCACTCTAGGATCTCTCCTACATCAGACTGCCAGGAGGACTTTCAGTCATCCGCTCATTGGTGTTGGATCAATTTTTCCAAGCCCTCTAACATGTATTGTTTTGAGTAGGTGGTGCAGAACAAAGATTGAGCCTTTCAGAAGCTCTGTGACCTTCCTTCTATTGTGAGCGTGTTTGTGCTGTTGCATAGCACAGAACATCTTGTGTTAAATTCCCCAAAGAACAACATGAACTACACTCCTTCATAGGCACCTCAGAAGTAAATGATAAATATATGTATGAAAGTAAGGATCATTATCTCCAGAAGCAAATCATATTAGACACATACATGCTGCCTGCTCTTCTACCCTGCATTCCAAAATCCTTCTGCCTTACTTCTTTCTGTGAGAAAGTCATGGATGTGTCCTCTACAAGAGGATCCTAGAGGTACCCAGTCTAAATAAAAACATACAGTGTTGTCACTCTAGGTCTCAGGAACTTTGTTTGAAGTTTTGTTTTCTTGGAGATCATTCTCTCATTTTCTGGAAGGAATCCAAGAGACCACTGAACCGTTTCTGAGGCAGCCTATGACAACAATCTGACACTTTCAGTATAGGAGCTAAATGTAGAGTCTGAGTAAGTTGGTTGTGGTTACTAACAAAACAGATGTTTCTCCAAGAGAGCACAGGCAGAGTGTTCTCTCCCACAGCTTGGAAAGAAGTGGACAGGCTGTTCAAAAGCCCAAAAGGTCAAAGTAGAACGGAAGCCTGTGTGAAAAAGACACCTCTGTAGATGGCTGAGTAAAGGATTAGGCCCCTGTTTGGTGCTCAAAAAACACTCGACTGTGATCTAGGACAAACATTGTGCTGGTTAATTTAACCCCACTGAGCAGACAAATGGTTCTGGAAGGAATGATATTTTACATCGTCTGTGGCATGTAAATCTTTGCATTTGACAATCATTTTAGATGTGTGTGAAAGTTTATGCTGGAGGAAGGCAGCTTATCTGAAGTACTGGAGACACTATTCTACACCAAAAAAGCATAACCTCTCCTGATAGACAAAGCCAGGAACTTCAGCTGGGTATTTTCCCTCCTCATTCTTGCTTGAGGATGCAGCAGACATGTAGTGTGAAGTTCAGGATAAAGCAATGTATAAACATTCTCTTCCCTTATCACTCCAGTCTAAAGGCACTGTTGGGGCAGAAGCTTGTACTTGGTCAGGCTCCATCACTGCCCACTCAGGAGCAGGTCAGCCTTCTCACCCTCTAGGCAGAAGGAAAAGGGATTGCTCCTCACTGCATTTCTGCCTGTTCTTCGCTGCCAAGGTGCTCATGGCATGCCAGGTGCTTAATTCAGAGAGGGAAACATTCAGCTCACCTCATTCCACAGTGCTCATGGCACCAGACACCAACAGTTTCCAAACACCCCCAATCTGATCAGGACTGAACTAACGACCTCCATCCCATTACCAGCCCTCACCAACCATTTAGATCCCTCAGGGAAATTTAGGGTTTAGCAATTTCAGCTCCTGCTGTGGCTCAGACAACAATGACTTTGTACAAACACGAGGGCTGCCGCGATCTCCTAACGCGGCAAAGAGCTGCAGGCTCAGGGACAGTGTCTCATGCACAGGTGTTTGCTTTAGATCCTCTGGAACAATGGCAAAATTTGCTAAGACAGTATCACAGAAGAGAGTAAAATGGCACCTGGAGTCTCCACCAGTCTCCACGAATGAAAAGGTCATCCATCCTGTCATATATAAAATAAAAGGTACCGCTTATGAGACAGGATCACTGTCTTTGTGTACTCTATCATGGTTTCCATTAGAGTGTTTCTCTACAAAATTCATGCCCACACAGAACTGCTACAGGCTCTGCTCAGGGTGTCTGTCCACCAGAAATCACCATAAAGTAATCTGGCTGTGGTCACTAGAGTCTTGCTTGTATAACTACAATTCAATCTTTAATATATTTGAAAAAGTTACAGGACCATCCCTGTAAATCCCTAACACACACACATTGCACTGGATCCCACAACAGTCTAACTAAATTACACATATTTTATTTCAAGACAGGCTGAAAAAGAACAACAGATGTTTTGGCACTTAATATTCATCTCGACAACACATAATAATTTACAATGAAGAATAAAAAGAAAGCCTGTCTCTCTGTCATGTACCAGTACTACCTACATTGAAACAAGGAGAAAAAAAACCACAGCAAACCACAAACAACCAGCTGAACACAACAGGACAAAGAGATGGCTCCAGCAAACAAAAAGTTCATTTTTAAGTTTCCACTGCAGTAAATGTAGTTACTTCTAGGGTGATGGCACCAACACAAAAAATGTGTGCTAAGGCCAAGAATATATCTAGTCACATTCAAAAGAAACATGGGATATGAACAGTGGTGTGAAAACTGCCCTCTGTCACCCAAAGGTGACAGGAAAGTAATGGTGACTAAAGGAAAGCAGAAAAGGAATAATAAGAGGGTAAAGTTGGGCATCAGGTAAAAAAAGGATCAGAGGGAGATGCAGAATAAGGAATGGAAGGACTCTGACATATGCAAACATTGAAGTCAAAATACACACATGCAGTGAGGAGGAACCAGGTACTACTGGAACTGGTGAGAGATGAGAGATGGGAAGAGAAGAGCTGGGTTGGGCAGAGAAAGAAAGGACAAAGGATGCGGAAGTAGGAAATAAATTACAGGACCCAGTAATTGGACTGTTAACTTGAAGTGCAAAAGAAATCCTTCCCCTGCTCTTCCTTTACAAAAGCACTGTAAAGCACTGGATATTTCATCAGAAGCAAATTCACAATTGCTTTACAAAGATTCCTGGTACTTCTGTTGTAGCTCCTGAATGGGCACATGCACAAGGCCAATCCAGTACAGCACTTAGAACATTTCCTGGGAAGAAAAAAGCTGTATGGGCCAGTCAGCCACTAAACCAAGCCCAAACCTCCACTCCAAGAGGTGTACGGACTGCTCAAACCCACTTATAAATCACAGCTGGACTCCAGAGCAATGCTATGAGTTCCAAAGCTGTGTCTTGGACAAGTGACATGCACAGGCAGGATCAAAGCTTCACAGTTAGTGAGCAAATACAATGGCAAAACCAATGCTGGGTCAGGAGCACTTCTAACCTGCAGGAATAGAGAACTTTCCACCCATCCCTCCCCACTGTTTGGGGCAGCTTATCCAGGTGAGGCTGTGTGAGCCCCTGGCAGGGGTGTCTGAGACCCACCAGGGCTGAGTGCCAAGCTCCAGCCCAGTTCTGCAGCCCAGCAGTGCCACCTGAGATGTGGGGATGTGCTTTGTGCAGAACCCTGGCTGTACAGCTCTGTTGGTCACAAAAACAGTGCTGTGCTTCCAGAACAGAAAAGCTGGGGAGAAGAGCTGAGAGGAAAACTGATGGTTCCACAGCAGAGCTCCAGCATTCATCTGCATCTCCGTATTTATCTTCTGACACTCTGGGTACCTCAGAATTCAGGTCTCTCTGCTGCCCAAAATATTCCAGTCCAGCACCACTCTGGGTAACAGGATGGTCAGTGACACATAAGGAAGAAAAGTCTAGTAAGATCCAAATTTAAATCACCCCAAGACAATGCACACACACACTGGTTGTTCTCCCAAGCACTATAGTTATTTCTCATGTGTGAGCCACTGCAGGCACAACTTCTGCTGATGTTACCACTCACCAACTTCAGAAGAGCAGTGAGTTAACTGATGTGAACCAGCTGAGTGTCCTGGTGCACTTCCAGCCAGCAAAACACCTGCCCATGTGACAGCTTTGGCATGTCCCTGCCAAGCAGCAGTGCCACACTGCTCTGACTCTTCAGGTGATCACCCACCACCCAGCAATTGATTGCCTCACTAACTGGAGGTCATTTTGCAGCTAGGCCAAAATCTTCATCTAGAGTACTCTCTTTGTCTTGGTGTGTTCAGTCCTCTTGTTTCTTCTCTGCTCCCATTCCATCAATAGAAACAAGATCCAAGCCTACCCCTCACAGCCACAGGCCTCAGTGACTTCCTGATTTTCCTCAAGGAACATTGACCAAAGGAGCTGCCAGACAGGAGGTGCTTATTTCTACAATGTTTTATGCAACACAATCACCAATATCCCTCACACGCTCCAGTCTCTCAAGGATTTCAGTCTCAACTGCACAACCAACAGCAGAGCATCCGCTCAGCTCAGACTTTGGGAATTGTCCCAACATAATCATTACAGAGTTCCTGAGCCACAAAAATGAAGTCAGCAGGATTCACAAAGGAAGCTGTTGTCAGCAGCAAGGTTTTCCAGCAGAGCAAAGCCAAACTTTCAGCTGCTCAAACAAACACAGCCCTGCACTCTACAGAGCCAGCCTGCCTGGTGCTGTCACCGTGTCAGGCTCATGGGCTGTGCTGGGGCTGTCACCAATGCCCTTGGTGGGGAAGGTTTCAGGGCACAGCCACGTGCAGCATCCATAGCTCACATTAAGCCACTTTTTATGCTCCAGCTTGTATCAATTTTCCAGCTGTTGTCTCTCCCCCAGATGTGTCACTCTCACAGCCAATCACTGTGACAGGAATGGAGAGAATGGCACGGAGCTGTCTCAGGGGAGGTTTGGGTTGGATATTAGGGAAAGGTTTTTCACCCAGAGGGTGGCTGGACACTGGAATGGCTCCCCAGAAAAGTTACAGCACCAAGCCTGACAGAGCTGAAGAAGGGCTTGGACTTAGTGGGATTGCTGGGGTGTCCTATGCAGGGCCAGGAGTTGGGCTCAATGATCCTCATGGGTCTTTTCCAACTCAGCATATTCTATGACTCTACAGTTCTGTGATAAATGATCAGAGGTTTTTGAGACCAGGATCACATTAAAAGGTGGACTTTCCAAAACCAAGCATTATCCTTCTAAAAAAAATAATAGTACAACAAAAGATTATTTAATGCAACCTTCATATCTTCTGCATTCTACTGAACACAAGTCAGGCTCATCCACCAAAAGAGGAAGAGAAGTACCACTGGACAAAATAGGAGAGAAGAAACCTACAGCACAGTGTTGGAGAGGTGGAAAAAGTCACCAGGAGGCATGACTGCACCTTAGATCTGAATAAAGAGAGGTGCAGGACTTTGTCAGCCAAGTTGCAGGGAGGTGGTTGGCTCCCATAGCTGCTGGGTCAGTCCCTGGAGGAAGCAATACTCAACACTAGGCCAGGTTTGTGTTTTGTAGGCAAACTGCCTTCTCTCCTCAATTCCTGTACTAGGAATGGCTAACTGGAGTAGGAGCCCTCACCAGAGAAACACAGTTTTTCTAGAAGACATCAAAAAATCTCAAAAAGTAATTAAAATGTAAACCATAAATGGCATATTTTCTCATTTTATAAGCCAAACAAACTAAAAAAGTGTCACTAGGTCTCTTAAGTGCAAAGAAATTTGCCTCCTGCTCCTGCCAACTTTCCAGGGACCAACCCCAGTATGTTCCACTGGAAGAAGGCCAAATCTAGAGACATTAATTTCTCATCTGTTTATATTTCCAACAATACCACCTTTCTGACAAGATCACCACGATACAGTTAATCCACGTGGAACAAACACACTAAACAGCCACTTGTACTTCCAGCTCTCACTTCTGAAGTCTCCCAGCTAATGACTCTCACTGTAGCACAAAGGTGACATTGTTCTCAGATCTTCATCCAAGGAAGATTTACACCTCATGGAAAAGGAACCTCAACCAGTTTTGAGAACAATCAGTGAAGCTGCCTCTATCCACTGGAAGATGCATTACTCAAACCCAGAGAAGACGACACAACTGACAGAGTGACAAACAGGGCTGCAAAAGCCACATCAGTGCCAGGTAAAGCTTTGGAAGTAGAAGAGGGAGCTGCTCACTCCCAGCACCTCATTTTCCTTGGCACCCCCTGGCAGGAAAAACTCTGATTTTCACCATTCCACTCTGCTTGGTCCTTGCAAATTTGCTGCAGCATCTTTCTCTACAATAATAACATTACTCTGTACACTAACACTCCCAGGTCTGATGGTTCTCAATGTATTTTAAAGATCACAACAATCCCTGCAGGAAAAGGATTAATATACAGTTAACACAGACACTTGACTGTAGAGCTGCTGCCTGGCCAGGTATGACATGACATGCTGAAGTTAAATTGTAGCAAGGAGCATGTTTTAAAATGGCAAATTGAGAAGATGTGAGGAAATACTCAGAAATATTCCCACAAGAGAAAAAACTTCCTCCAGCAAAAAGGCAATCTGGAATTTTAGCACGGCTAACAAAACCAAGAGTGGGTTTTTTTTTTTTAATTCTTGAATATTGTAACAGGACCAACAGTGTTATACCTTAAGAGGAAGGTATCTCAAGAGGAAGAGGCTCACTTAGGTAATACATTGATAACCTAAGAAAGTAAGTCACAAAATCAACCTACTACAAAATATAAACATCTCTCTTCAGCCAAGAAACAACCTGTGTGTATCCTTTCACTTTCCTTCTCAATGAAATACTGCAAGAACACAGCTTTGCTATTTCAATTTGTAAATTACAGTGTTTTATCCAAGAAAGCACACATTACATATGCCCCTTAGAATTTCCATCCTACAAACAATATCCAAGTACCTATTAGATTATATGGAAATTTAAAATAAAATCTGAGGCAAATCTTTCACTCAGCTAAGCAGAGGAGTGGTATGGGCTGAAAAGCTGTGGGAAACAACAGAAACTGTGACTGCTTTTATTTTCACTGGTACTGCCAAGTCTTTTGCCCAGTGAATGCCCATAACACAATTTAGACAATAAGTTTTTACATTGGAGGGTAACATTTTCCTAAATCTGAAATCTCTTCCAGATAATATCAAAAGTATGAAAATTGTTTTAGTTAAAAAAAATAATCATACATGCTGCTTTCCACTCCTTTTGCTACTTTTATCCATAGTATCTGTTAAGTTTGCCTCAAATGTTTTATGTTTTGTTCAAACATATTGTTTAGCTAAACACAGCTTTTGCTGTGTTCAGTTGAGGCTTGTTGCAGGGGGTGGTGATTGATTGGTTTTTACTCTGTAGCAGTATTTTACATCCCTCTCTACCTGTTAACACAAATTTTTATAAACCATAATATCGAAGAAGCCTGAAAGTGTTACTAAAAACATCAACCATGCGTTCACCCAAGCAGAAATCTGAAGGCAAGAATGTGGTGTATTGATTTTCCCCCGCCAAAACCTCCTTAAGTATATAATGCAATTATCGCCTCTGCGGTGGAGTCCGATTTGGCAGTTCTAATCAGCCCAGCTCCCAGTACAGTCAGGACTGCTGGGTGACACTTGAGATCTGAAGAGTGTGGGTAAAAATAACCTCTGTTCAACAAGACATGACGAACACCAGACAGCTGAGTCACCTTTAAAATCAAGCCTGATTTTCTGTATTAAAAGGAATTATCAAAAAGAGGGGGAATTATCAAGAAAAAGGGAATGAAGAAATCAAAAAATGTGCCTGAAAGGTATTTTTTAATTAATAATCTGTATTGCAATGAGCTTCCTTCTGATTTGCTGCCACTGACATTAACATCAACATATAGTGCTCAACCACCTTTGGGAAACATCAGTTTCCTGTGGAGAAGCAACTTCTAATAAAATTTTCAACCTCTTTTGATAAAGTCTAATTTCCAAGCACCTGTTTCTTACAAAGCACTGCCCATTTCTGAAGGCTTCCAGTATTAGTAGTGAAGTTTAAAACTGAGTCAGGCCCCAGATCTGCCATGGAACACATGCAATCTGTGGATGCTGGTGGAAATAACACCAGAGAAAGTTTACAGCACATGAAACATTCATTTAACAGCAAAGGAACCGAGCTGATGGGGAAATACTACAAGTCCATTGAAGTTCAGTGATGTAACTGAAACCCCTGGGGAGAAAGTGTTTCAGGGCAACTTTCACGATGATTTTCAGGATGAGCCTTCACCGTGGAAGGTTTCTCTGAAAATTTTGAATAGAACGACCACGGAGGCAAGCAAAATAATTGACATCTGCTCGCCAAAATAAACCAAGGAGAAGGCCATTACTCTCCCTTTTCAACTAGCTCGGTGTGAAAGCAAAAGCAGCCCTCCGGGTGGAGCAGACAGACCCCGACAAGCAGAGCAAGTAGCGAAGCCTCCCCAAAACCACAAAATCCCCGTGTCCAAGCAACCACTTCAGAGAGCCTCGAAGGAGGGAAATAAACAAACAAACGCAGGAAGGACGATGTGCGGGAGCGCCGCGACCCCGGCCCGGCAGCAGCGGCGGGCGAGGGCCCGCGGCAGGTGGAGGGAGGGCCGGGGGCGGCTCGGCAGCCTGAGGGGAGGCAGCGGCCCGGGGAGCGTGCGAGGGGCTGCGGCGGGGAGGGGAAGGGGCCGCGGCGGCAGCCGGGGGTGGATCGCTGCACTCACGGGCGAGTCGTAGGAGAAGGCACATTCCGTCTTGAAGACCCGGTCCCCTGACTTGGGCACCCGGATCGTGGGCATGTAGGGGACGAGCAGCTCGCCCAGGTCCCCGGCGGCCATCTGCGCATCGCCGCCGCGGAAGAGCGCGGCCCGCTGCATCCTCCTTCCCTCCCTTCCCTTCCCTCCCGGCTGCCCTCCCGCCCTCGCTCCCGGCCGCCCGCCCTCCCTGCCGAGCCGCTCTGCGCGGGCGATGGAGGCGGCGGGCAGCCGGGCCCGGGGCAGGGCGGCGGCGGGAGCCGGGCCCGAGGGAGGGCAGGGGGAGGGAAGATGCTATTTTTAATCCAATGGCAGCGGCGGCGGCACCAGCTGCGGCGGCGGCACTCGGGGGTCCCGGCGGGGGCGGGCGAGGGGCAGGGCAGCGGGGCGGGATCGCCGCCGGGGCCCCGCGTCTCACCGAAAACCTTCGCTCCCAGCGGGGCGGCACGGAGGCTTGGCGCCTGGTGTGACCGGGTAGCCCGGGGAAGGTTTCCCTCTCACCGGTAACACTCTTTTATACGCTCTGTTATTTATTTTTAAGCTTTTAAAGACTACATGAATATATCTATATATCTATATATCTATATATAGATGTAGATATAGATATATAGATCTATATATGTGTATGTGTATATATATACACATATATATGTGTGCATATATATGTATATGTAAGTATATATATATATATATATGTATGTAAGTGTATATGTGTATATATATATCTGTGTATGTATATACGTTTGTATAAAATCCACACAGTAAAAAAAAATCTCCTCTGTATTTTCATTCTCAGCCCCTCATTGCGGTACAGGTGGCTCTGGCAGGTCCCACCAGTGCTGACAGCTGGGATGTCCCCACCTTCCAGAAGAACAGGTTGGTGTGGGAATGCCCAGCCTGGGATGCCCAAAGAGCCTGTGGCAGTGCCAGGAGCCAGCCCCCAATTTCATGGCTTCAGGGGCAGTAGCTTTACCTTAAAATGCCCTTTTTTTGCCCTTTGCTGGGTTTCTCTCTGCTCTTCACTTTGAAAGAATAATGTCAGAGAAGGAGAAATAAGAGTGATCTTTGTAGGGAAAAAAATATTGCTGCTGTTTTCAAGCAGTAACTAAAAACACTACATATGCCTGGCAGCAACAGCATTAAAGAAATGATCAGTCCATGTAAAATGAAGATGCATAGAGCAGATGCCTTCCACCCATCATCCACAATATATCCAAGGACTCATTGATCACTTCCAAGGAGGTGATGTGACCTTTGCTAGAACCACCTTTTACCTCAAAATTAAAATTTTCAAAAGGTGGTTCTAGGAAAACCTCAAAAACAGAACAGAAAAATGTTTGTACCCAGCTATGAGCAGGCTGTGAGGATGAGCAGGGTAGCACAGTGTTCTCAGCGATTTTCACTACTGAAATATCCAGTGTTGGGAACAATGTGAAACACTGAGGGCAGAATGTGATGTTCATGGAGACTTGCTGAAAAACAGACATTACATCAGACTTGTAAGCATCATTGGATGCTGGATAGAAAACACTAATGCAGGGTCAGACAGGTTTATTTTACCTGAGGAGACTTTGTGCTTTTTTAATGGCTTCTCTTATTAATAACTCAGCATTTATAAACAATGAGAGCCATAAGACATATGAGCCATCTAACCTGAAAGACTGATTCTATCAGAAAGGGCAAGCAAAGCACTGATAGAAAATCAATGTCTTTCTAATGTCTGACAGTGCCAGGAAACAGCAAACAAGGCAGTTTTTGCTTAAAATAGTCCATGCAGTCTTGCCTAATATAAAAAAAATAGAGTTTGAAGTTTCAAATCACTAGATGATATGGGTTTAGTTTGGGCTTATTTCCTTTTAAAAGTGAGGATTTTGAACACAGACAGATAATTTAGAGTCACAAACTGTAAGAGGCACTTTCCATCACTTGAGAAATTTCAAGAGTACCATGGCCTGTAGACCCTGAGGAAACACATCCCTCTAGTGGCAAAAACTTGCCAGGTGATGAGAGAACTCTGTATTCCCTAAGGAGTTGCCAGAAGTGGTGTGGAAGAATAGCTGAACAGTTCTGAAAATGCATGGCAGGTATGTGTGAAGGTACTTTCCTACTTAGTTTATCTCCCACCAATTACCTGACACAAAGCACTGAGAAAGAAAAATCCCTTAGCTCCTTGTATCTTTCACTTAAAACTATAAACACTAGAAATCACAAAATGAAAACTAGTATTACCAACTTGTTTCATGTACATATGTTCTGAAGGAAAGGAGTGATTGTTGGCAATTGACACAAAGCATTTTCACTGATTAACAGCTTGAACAGCTGTATGAGTTAACTGCCACACAGTTTCTTTCAAGGTACTGGAATCAACACAAACACTGTTTATTCATTTCCATCAGCAAACAGCAGGATGTCTGTTCCACAGCACAGTCACAATTTGCCAGTATGCACTGAAGACCTTGCACACTGCCCAAAAATTGTTTAATTATCAGGTGTGGCTTTCATAGAATTGTCAACAAGATTTTTGTCAGGCGTTTCATAATGGTACCAAGGCCCATCTCCCCGGTGTCTCATCAGTCTGCGTGCCTCCAGCTCCAGCAGCCTAAAAAAAAGGCATGAAGTTTGTTAATATTGAGCATTTCTGACAAAGAAATGATTTTAGCATCAATGGTTTATAAATATTGCTAAAGCACAGGTAGGACCAAAATATGAAGGGTTCAGCTAAGACATGAGCTATCAAATATTTTAATTTTGGCTGTTTGTTATTTTTCAGCAAGTCATTCTACAAAGGATTAATAAAAATACTGGCAGCATTTTATTATTATTATATTTTATCACAGGTTCTTCTCTGAGAACATTAGAGCATTATTAGGGGCAAAAAGAGCTCCATTTGCTGATTCAGGAAGACAAAGCCAGAGCTACACCTTTATAAATACCAAGTGTTTTGAAGACCCCCCTGCCCTTGGATTGTTCTGGTAACCTGAATCCTGAGAGGGCAGCGATAGCAGATCCTGTGACTGCCACTCTGGCAGCAGCCAGGGCAGGCAGCACCCAGGGGACACATGAAAGCACTTTATGTCAGCATCCAGCTCAGTATGTCATGCAAAATCAAAGAGTCAGCTCCAGTATGGATGAGGATTTTAAACCCCCCAACAACAGAGCATACCTCATCTCAGATTTCCTCACTTCCACAGCAAGCAGGGCCATGTCCTTCTCATAGTTCTTCTCAGGGGGGTCAAGTACATAACGAGCTATCCAGCGGGTTATGGGGTGCTGGAAAACACAACAGCAGAGATTGTCTGAGCAATTTCCAAACAGAAATGTCACCTTGTGTATCCACAGTCCTGAAAAGATGGCATGGACACCATGAGTGCCATTCAAACCATAACAGTGAAGTTACAAACATGCACAACTACTTGTGAGATCAGAGCCCTAAAAAGTCTTTTGCAATCCTTAATGCCAAGACAACCTGCAGATCACTGTTCTGTAGCAAAATTAACATTTAATGAAGATATAATTTATTTTCTTTCTTTTAAAGTTCCTTAAACTGCCACAGTAATCACAGAAATGGACTCCAAATCTTACTGTAATCAGCAACATTTCAAAATTCAGCTTCCACATAGAGGCCATTTCACTAGGAACAGAAGTCTAAATGAGTTGAAACAGTCACAATAATATTGCTGAATTCAATTACTTCCTATCAGAAACAAAACAGTGCTTGCAGCAAGAAGCCAGGGACTAATTTAAAAAAAAATATAGTTAAATTGAAACCACACAACCTTGAGTTTGTGACTATAAAAATCTTCAATTCTAGATTCAAAAGTGTGTGTGATATGGGACTTTAAAACAAAAGAAAGAAATGTCACTTTAAACTCCAGTTTCTTAAGACATCGTAGGAAAAAAAAAATAAAGACAAAATCTGCATGGTATGAATGCAGAGGACTTTTCTAAGTATTTAGGAATATTATGGAAAAATTCTTGGCATACAGTTTCAGTAGTTCTGCATACAGAGCATTTGCATCTGCTTGTGTCATTAAGAGATTTCCTACAGCCTTTTACGTGTTCCATAAAGCCACAAAAAAGTTTACCAAAATCAGAACTGCACTATTTGAGTTTTACTACACTGACAGACATCACACTCCATTCATTTTACTCCCAAAAGTATCTTCAAGAGAAAGGCTGTCCATAACATGCCCACCCTTTCACATGTTCCACTCACTTTGTGGTATTCCCAGTGCTCTGGAACATAACCTTCAGGAATCTCTGCAAGTTCAGCTTCACCTGACAAGGAAAGGAAGGGAAGAATATTTAACTCTATGATTATTTTCCAAAGCTACCTTATATTCTGCTTTTCAGGTAAGGAAAAGATCATTGTTCCACATAGAGAGTGCTAAATCCTTCAGTGTGAGCTCTAGTCAGAAAAATTGAACTTGCAATTTTTGCAGACACATCACACTGCAAGTATCTACTCACAGATTTTTAAGTACACAACAAAAGGGTAAAATTAGCAGCTATACAGAAGAAACAACTTGGATCAAGTCCACAGAAATACCCTTTAAAGTACAGGAGCTGAAAGCATGGACTTTTCCTAATTTCTCTATTAAATTAATTACATATCATTACAGCAGGAGATTTAACACATGTATTGCCAAGCAGAATTTTGGCATCTTTGCTAGACAAAAAGCCAGATTTGCACTCTTGTTAAAGCAAGTTACTAAACTTCACTGGTGTTTGGAAGACTGCTAGAAGAGAGAATGGTTTTTTGTTTTTTCTTTTTAATGTGAGAAACTTTTTTTAAAAAGCAACAACTAAAGCAAATATACTGGAAACATTTTCTATGTACTTATACAATGTTTAGGCCTATTCCATGGCCTTCCAAAGAGAGAGCCCTAAAAGAGTGCTTTTTCTCTATGCAGCATGCTTAATTCCCATTTAATAACTTTGACTGTACTTTGCTTAGAGCCTGACAGAGCACTCACCAACGAAGATGTTGATGTATGTTAAGAGCACAGCCACTGGTATTCCCGTCAGGAATAAATAGTATCTCTGTAGAGGGGATAAAAACAGTCAGTGTGGGAAACTCAGAACCCTGACAAAATTTACATGAGATCTGAAAACATCTGAAA